TAATATGGTCGATATTAACGCACTTTGAAAAAAATTATTTTTTTCAAAGTGCGTTAGCTTGGTCCCAAATTTTAACGCACTTTGAAAAATTTTTTCAAAGTGCGTAATTTTTCAAAGTGCGTTGTAACAATGGTGTCTAATTTAACCTTGATTAAACAGTTCTAATAGATGTAATAAGAATATAAAGCCGCCGAGAACCTGTTTTTTACGTAATAACTCTCCTCATGCCCCTGTGCTAAAATAGCGACATGTAATACAATAAATACTAATAAAACAAACGGGGCGGGACACTTTGAGAGGGGTCAGAGTGGTCCTAGGGAGTTTTGAAATTAAATTACATTGCAAAAGCTCACAATCTTCTTGAAATATCGCCCGGAAAGGATAGTGTTACACACAGAGAGAATGTATAAATTTACGACCTTGAACTTGACCTGTTGACCTCAAAATCAATAGGGGTCTTCTTTATTCCATAGGGAGTTGTTATGCAAAATTTCATTGCAAAAGCTCAAAGGCTTTTGGAGATATCACATGGAAACTAAATTGTATAAACAGAGAATTTTTGAATTTATGACTTTGACCTTTGACCTTTTGACCTCAAAATCAATAGGGTTCTTTTTTAGTCCAAAGAGAGTTGCCTTGCAAAATTTCATTGCATAAGCTCAAAGGGCTCTATAGATATCGTGTGGAAACGAAAGCGTTACAGACAGACAGAAAGACGGACGGACGGACATACCCAAATTAATATCCCCCACTTTTCAAGCGGGGGACAATATAGCTAATAAGGGGGCGCAATTGGTATCCATGGGAATTCCAATAGATTGTCAAAAGATATGGTCTCCAAAAACCACATAGTTATTGTCAACCAGAACTCAAGCATCTTTCTAATAACAACTTCAGAGTACTTGTGTGTACAATCAGAATGTTTTTTAACAAAGTAATTTTGTAAATGACCAATTATAATGTTAGTAAATTTACAATTTCCATTTTATTGAAAAAGAAGTAGTCATTGATGCCAGGTAGCCCGGACTTAAATTTTATCGTGGGGAGTAGTTGTATTTTTAAGGAATCACTGTCTAGTTTGTTGGGTATGCCAGGGCATCAACGATAGTTGGAAACATGTGGTAATTTGCATAACGGTCATTTGCTTCCCGCCATGCATAAATTATTTCACGTTTCCAAAGACATGGAGATAACGAACACTATTCAAGACCAAAATCCATAAAACAATACGAAATAAGAGCAGAGCAAACACGGACCTCCAAAACATTGGAGGCGGGATCAGGTGCCATGGAGGAGTGAGCATCCCCTGTTGACCGGTCAAACCCACCCTGTGCCCCTTGTCATGATCGGGAAATAACGGAAAAAATCTGTCGTCAATTTAGGTATAAATAATGGACTAACATTAAGGATGAAAAACGTCAGTCAGCATTTGACTCAATGATAAATTGTATTTGCTGACAAGGTCATTGTATCGACCATAGATCTTACGAAATGATGATTTTAGGCTAGACTGCTGATATTCTTGTTTCATCAACTTGTTTGTCAATAATTTACCTCGTTTTAGAAAGCATTCACACGTAGAGTATGCTTTGCATATCGAATCAACTTTGATATATAAACGCCGTATGCGGTGATGAAGGTATATTGCTGTATAAGTAAGGGAAGTTGACGATAGAAAAGTTAAAATCATCATGTTTATCAAAGAGCTTGGTTTTTAGATTACCATTAACGTCTTTTTTCATATATATATATATATATATATATATATAGACTATATATATATATATATATATATATCGTATCGACATAGGAATGGAATTTAAATTACCATTGTTAATTGACAATACATCCTCGATATATGTAAATGTTGAGATGAAGACCACGGCACGTGTTTTCCTCTTTTCACGCACAAGATTTTGCACATATTCGGCTTCATATGAAAACAAAATAGGTCTGCTAATAACAGGCCGCAATTGGTACCCCATGGGAATTTCAATAGATTGTTGGAAGACCTAGTCATCAAAAACAACATAGATATTGTCAATCAGAAACTCAAGCATTTCTTTGATGTCAACTTCAGAGTACTTGTGTGTGGAGTCAGAATGTTTTAACAAAATAATTTTGCAAATGACTGACCAATGACCAGGTAAAAAAAATCTACGAGTTCCATTTTTATTGAAAAAAACCAGCGGTTAATGATATCAAAAAGCCTATATAATCATATAATATATGTATAAAGTTGAGAAGTCATATAATATAAGCTATATTTTTAAAATCTTGTGATTTCAAATTGTCCAAAAGTTCTCTGGATTTTTTTAGTATCCGCATCTGATTCACACTTCTTGAATACTAGTATATTGTTGTACAGTACTCTTGAAGTTTTTCCTTCACTACTGTCAATATCTTAGTGAGGAGTAAAGAAGGCTTGGTTGAACATTTACTGGAACCCGCAATGTATCTTTGTAAGGATTCTTATGAAGTTTTCGAATCCATTACATACAGCATATGGTAGTTCAAATCAATTTGGTTCTTCGGGTTATTAAAAATATTCTACATATGATTTTGAAGAATTTCTTCCTTAGAAAGGGAACTATGAGTATAAGTTGGATTACCACTTGTAGAATTAAATCCAAGTTCTTCTAAAATACAATTTAGATAATGAGCCTTACAAAGACAGCAGGGACCAGTACGTACATGTAATCATGTAATCTTCTAATTCTTTTTTCACTTCTGGATTATTGAATACAGAAGGATAGATGGTTTTCATATTGCCCCTCAATCTTGTAACATGGACCTGATACTTTCCATAATCCATTCTGACAAAGTGTCAACGTCTTCTCTTTCATATCTGGCCCATCGTCTGGCGTAATCTTCAACAGAATCCATAATATTTATTTAGAAATTCCGACGCCAGTTGAAGGATCGGGGTTCCCTTTATTTAGGACCTTTTAAAATAAGTTATCTAAGGTCTTTATTATTAAATATATATATGTCACCTGTAATAACATGTCCAGCAGGGCTATTTTTATAGGGCGAAGAAGAACATAAACACAATGGAGGACTATGTTTCAGATACTCGATATCCAGGCCATGTAAAGTTCGTTTGTAATTGTCGTTGATGTCCCTTGCATACCCAACAAATTAGACAGTGATTTCTTATATTTCCATTTCATTGTTAAATTGTAAATTCAGATATAAAAATGTTGTCAAGAGGCCTCCCATGTCAATTTTAATAGTCTTCACACACGGACATCAGACACAAAGACAGACGCGTAAGATTTACATGCATATTAGGCCCCCTTAGCTGTTGACCTTTCACTTGGCGAAATGCATGTACATTCCGGTAGAATTAACTCAACTAACTCTTCAAGAGTTATCACAGAGAATGGAAATATAAAGTTGAAAAGTTGTTAATTTTTATGCTTTTGATTTTTGGTAAAATTTTGTGATTACTTGGATTTTTTTGATTTACATCACTTCCCAAGTATATTGTTGAAAGTATTCTTGAAGTTTCTTCTCCACTTTGTTAATAGCTTAGTGAGGAGGAAAGACTAAAGCTTGGTAGAACATCTACTGAAAGTGGAACCTGCTATGTATCTTTGTTTGTAAAGACTTTTTATGAAGTTTCGGAATCCAATATAGATATGTTCATTCAAATTCATTTTGGTTGTTTGGAATAACCAATTTCGTTTGTCAAACGAATACTAGAAGTCAATAAAACATCCAAATATGAAACAGAGCTGGACAGACTTTGTGATATCTTATATTTATTTCAGTTTCACCTGGATATTCAACATATAAATAAAAAATTGTGGATATATCGGAATGTCGAACTGAAGACAACGGCACACGTTTTCCTCCTCTCGCGTAGATTTTTTTAAAATAATAAACTCTGCTTTATAGGAATATAATAAATGGTGAGCTAATAAAGGAGCATAATTAGCTAACCTGTTTTTGAATCTGAATTCCCAAAGTTTGTTGGAAAACGTGGTCTCCGACGATTGCATAAAAGTCCAGCATCTTCCGAGTTGTTATGTGTATGTAAAAAAGAAATTTTGTTGGTGACCAAACACAAGATGTGAAAATTTCTCAGTTTTCGTTTTATGCAGATGCAGTTGTCCATGATATGAAAAAGTTCAGATTTTAATACATCACGAGGAATAGTAATTAAGTCATAAGTTTGGCGTTAGAGATTTTTGTAATATTTCCGACTTTTGTAAATAAAATTATGTACCTCTTTCTTTGTTTTTTTTTGTATTGCATAAAAATCTCCAATAACACTGAGCCACTGTTTATATGTAATAATTAAAATTATATCTTTTTTTAATTTGAAATTTTTTCAAAAGGCCACATGTTAATGATTGTCATTCACGGCCTACAACGAATCTTTGTATATGAAATGTTTAAACTTGATACGCGTGGACTAATAATTAAAACTGAAGTACTAAAACTAGTGGATATGAACGCATGCATATCAAACGTTTTTGGTATTTTATTTCAGAACCTTATGGTGTTTGTAAGAAAGTTACATATTATGCACGACTTTAGCGCCATTAACGATAACAAATTCAGCAAATATTTCACAAATAAAATTAATGACCTTTTCAGTTTCTTTTAAGATAATTTCGAATTTTTGAAATAATTTTAGTTTATGGCCGAGTTCAGCATTGTTTCTACCAAACTGCAAAATCCAATTTGATGTGGGTTTTTACACTTGTAAGATTTCAATAATATTGCAATTCTTTTCTTCAAATATTCTATAATTTGGATTTTTCCAAGATTGTAATTTGATTAATTCGTCAAAATTTTTAGATATGTTATTTCTCAAAGGGCAGTCCACCATATTCTAACGACATTTGATTTCAATAATGTTAAAGATTTTTATTTCAAATATTTTAAATTAGATTTCATAATAGACTTTAATGTCATCTCATTTCCCCAAGAGCGGAAATCTCCAAAACACTGGCAACGATTAAGCATGAGATTTTTGACTAATAAGGTTTAAGTACCAAAATTTTATATCCAATATTTTAAGAAACAATATTACAAGAAATATCATGGTGTTGTAAATTGTTCATGTAATAAAGTTGCTGCATCAATGTACAAATGAATGGTAAATTGATCTTTTATTTATGCATCTTAGAGATGGTGTTTATCCAGCTCAGTATCCGACAGTTCTTCACATTTTACTCCACGCTTTACTCCAATCTTTACTCAGCCAAATCGAAGACTCGGCATCCGGACCTGAGGACTTTTAGTAGGACGCATTTTAAAGCGAAGTAGCGCCGCCACCTTGTCCACCAGAGAATCCCCGAATCGATAGGAGTCCGGAACTCGCTTCACTAAAAATAGAAAAAATAAATGAATTTAAAATTTATATTTTTAATGGGTTTTTTTCCTTATATTTGTTTCCCATCACTAATGTATCAAGAAAAAGACATGCTGATTACGTCAACGTTCGCAAGATTCGAATTATCTGAATATCAATCTAGCTGTATATAAAGGTCATGTGACTTATTTGAAATATCAGAAAGTGACATAATTTAGTTCTCGTTTTCAGTTTGAATTGGATTTCTAAAAACTTTAATTTCTGTCATATCAAAGACCTGACAGTTTCAATGGTTTCTTAAAAGAAAATAGTGAGGAGAAAACAAAGAGAGAAAAGAAATTGGGGGAAAATAATCAAAAGATTAAGTAGGAGTTTAGCTAAAAACTTTTTGTACTAAATACCCAGTTATGGAGCGGTTTATTGTTCACTTTATTTTTAACCTTCGTATTCATAATAACCATTATATCGTAAATAATCTAACAACATAAGTGCAATGGCGTTTACCGCCGAAACATCTGTTTGTTATGATTGAAAAATGAAAACAAGTTACAAAAGTTAGAAAGCATTAACTTAAAGTGTTTGGCGATAAGAAAAATTATGTATTTAAAATACAATTTATGGTTCTGTCATTGATCATTGAATAACATCCATATTAAAATGCATTTAGGTAGTGAAAAACATTGGCAGATTACACCTAAATAGTAGAGCCAAGAGATGGAAGGATATAACATCAATATGGAATACAAAGGTACGTCGAAAATATATTAGTATGTTGGAACATTGTTTCTAAAAATGTATCTAAAAAAAATTTTCCAAGAAATACTTTCAAGTTAAAATTATTTTTCGTTTACTTCGCGCATTGTTTCACTGGAGATTTTTGACAATTTTGATTTTATTGTCAAAATATTTTTTGCCATTTCACCCAAGGATTTTTTTAAACCTCGATTTCCCCAACTATTATATATCTTAATATTCCATGTTTTAACGTCTCGGTTCCTTCTACTTAGATTTTGCATTAATTTTATTAATGGTAGCATAAAGACTTCGATATTTGCACTTCTCAAGTGTATACTTTATGGTTATTTAGGCAAATAATAATCATTTTTTTTATTTTGCATTGCACATTGGCATAAATCAAAGGAATTTAAGTCAAGCATGCTATGTACTTAAAGATGAATTTTTCATGCATGTATATATAAAAGCAATATGAGCTGCATTTTTGAAAATGTTAAAATGTGCTATTATGATAAATTTGTTTGTCATAACGATTTGTTTGTAACTTAAACCTTTATGATCAATTACACTAAAATAAAGCTGAAGAAAATATACAATCCCATATACAATTCAATATATAATAAGAAATCATTATTGTACAGTATGTCAATAATCGCACATACATGTATAAACGACAGAAATTTATTAAGTTTTTTTTGTCATTGAAATAGTTATTTACAATTTTGCAACAAAAAATCCCGACATCAATTTGCAACTCCTATTGCTTTAAATCTATTTCGTCAAAAAGCAGAAAAACGTCAGGTTATATTGCATAGATCCATAATATGCATCTTTGCAATGATTATTGAAGAAAATTCTCATGGAATATAAATATTCAAGAATAATAAATATTCGAGATTTTAAAGTTATAAAGTATTGTTTATAAAATGGATTATATTTCTTCTTTAAGACAAATGATAGGAGTTATTACTTGATATGATTTGATGAAGAAATAAGAACGACTGTACATACCTAAGCTGCTGAGACTCTCTGATGTAGAATCGTTCTGGAGATCTCGAAATCGCAGTTTCTTTAAAATAAGCTTTCTTAAATCTAAATTAAACAGAAATGTTTAGCAATGAATACAAATTAAAAAAAAACTACACAAACAAATTGAATGTATTATCTTTCTGTCTACTTGTATTAATCCAAATAAAGTCAAAATTGTGTTAAGCTAAAATTGCAGTCCAAATATTCTTCGATTTTTCATACATGTTCAACAAATTTGGTTTACAGCATTTATATTTGACAGAGAAACGATGAAAATTTTCCAGCCATCATTATTCACCCTTATAGTTCAGGGTGTCTGTTCCTTCTCGGAAAAAGTCCATTATGTTTGAATTTGATATATTTGAAAAATTAATTATTTGTTTTTAAAATCTAAGTCTGATTGGATGAAGAACTTTTTCCTGCTACATATTTCTATGCAATCGGTCCGCTGTTCCAAATAGAACACAACCAGGAAATGTACTTTTGAAATTGTACTTTTAAGTCACGCTAATGCGCGAATTTTGAACATTATTTTTGGATTTATTTACAAATGTCTTAACGGAAAGTCGGAGCCAGAAACTAATAGAGTAATTTTTGACATGCTCATACGACCATTAACAATATTTTAATCTGTTCCCATTGTACTGGCATTAAAATAATGGATATCATTATATCCCACCTTCTTCCCGCGTCCTCTGATCTAGCATCGAATCATCAGCTTCAACATCCCTCAAATAATCGTCTTTAGTTTCCTCTGCTAGGAGATTTTCTAGTGCAGACAGTCCCTGCGTTTGTTTGAACACTATTGTTAACGTCCAGAAGGCAACCACAAACAGCCTCAACACGCCGCTACTGAAAGCAGAGCCGGAAATATACATAAATAGGTGTGGGGAAATAGACATAGGTTTTATATATTTAAAATACAATTGTAAAGATATCAAAAATCACTTAATTTAATTGAGATGTAAACAGATAATTATATAATGTTTTGCCATATTTGGTACAACTGTAAAGGTTTATTTGTAAAATTCTGCAAATGAATATAGTCCAAACATTGTGAAGGTAAAAATAATCTTTCTCACCATTTCTCATCGTTTTCAAAATTTACATAATTACTACATTTATTTATTATTTATTAAATATAAAAAATATATTAACCATTGTGCCCTTCTTAAATGTATAATAACAATTCATTTTATTTAATGTAAAAGCGTTAACATAGTGCTGTTTTATTTAACACCAGTAAGCAAATACATATGCAAAAAATAAATAAGTAAATAAAAAAAATATGAATCCTTTTTCCTCTTTTCTTGATATTCTTGTAAATATGAATATTTCTTAGATATATAGAATTGTAAATTTAGTAAATAAGAACTTTGATTTATTGAAATGTAAATTACCTTACCTTGCAAAACACATCATAGTGGATACTGGATAGAGATCAAATTCAAAGTGGACGTCCGCAATACGAAATTACAGTTTTATAGACGCTTAACCAATCAGAAAACAGTAGGAGTTATAATGAAGAGAAAAAAACTGACGTGTTTAAGAGTTGTGACTTGTGTCCGTCATAGAGGAAATTTACAGATTATGATATCACAAAAACTTATAACAAAAGATTATCGGAGCATCATCCCAGTACAAACACGGTCTCTTGTTTCCGCTCGTGACCATTAGGGCTGGTGCGAAACGCGATCTCGCAGCTCTATAGAAATGGTGCGCGAGAGTCGCGAAGGATGCTCGGTAAATTGCTAATTAACGAACGAGCATTAGGTGTCCTGTCTTTCACAACTTTTTAACATCAATTTACGGAATGAATTCATACTAGCAATGATGTTGTTTTGCAAACTTCCATATATTTTTTTTTATCTGTGGGCGCTTGAAAAATGTGACACGCACAATGCTCTCTTTATCCGAGTTCATTAATTATGAAGATGGCCTGTATTAAATTTCAATTTATCTTTGGCATCTTAATGACGACCTTTAATTTAAATGTTTAGATATTTCGTTCGAAAGTAGATACCCGTCTCTGATTTGAACACAATGCAATACTGTATAAATATTAAGAATTAAAGATATTGCTTTGTTAAGTTAGCAATGGGAATTTGACGCAAACAATTAAACCCTGAGTCTGTTAATGGGTGCCTTCTCAATACAATTAGAGATTGTAAAAATTACCACACATTTACGGGTGATAGGTGCTTTGTTTGATAAGCTTCACACATATAAATAATGAAAGACTTTTTTATGTAAATATGTTTAATGTATAAGCGGGTACTTGTGATAGATACCCGACTTTTACCCAATGTATACATGCACGAAAGCAGGTACCAGAATTTTACCCGCATGATATAACATGAAAGGGGTTGTTTTTCACAAAGAGAACTACACATGACAAAGGCTGGCTCAAAATAAGACGAAAAGGATCTGATACTTATTAACAATGTAGAAGCTTTATGACATGTGCACTGAATCTGCATGCTAAATCTCTTTTTTCTAATTTAACACGTAACAAATTTGTAAAGACTTAAAATTGAAATGTTCAAATTTATTGAAAAATATGACAAGCATTAACAAAGCAGTCTTAAAAGTAAAACATAAGGACAGATGCTGAATTGAAATTGTCTGCAGCTTTATTACTTTATTGAGTGCAATAACGCTGCATAAATGTTCTTATTTTAATGAAAAAAGTGTTAAAAGTGTACTCGTATATACATGTACTAATACTGTAGTAGATGCATTAATTCCAATGAAGAACCATAAAAATTGACATAAGAATATTTTGGTTTTTATAAGACAATACTTAGTATTTAAAATTTGTGGAAACGCGATTATTGGCTTACTGATAATTCAAAAGGCATGAACATTTTTTTCTACTAAGTTCCAGAGTTCAAAACTTCATAAACCATATTCTTATTGATTTCTTCATTTCAAAAAGCAATTCAAGAACTTCAGCGATCATGCAAAATGGATATAAGTTAGGCAGCCAAGATCTCCTGAATTAATATCTGCATATTAAAGAGGTCTCAGATTGCGAACTCTCTGCATGGTCTTCTGTCGCCCTATTTTTCTATCTGACGATGAAGAACACTTCAAGATAACATAAAACAATTTTATACTGCTGCTTATTTATATTTAAAAACAGATTGCGCAACATCATGAATTTTTATGAATTAGCTGATCAAATTTCAACAGTATTTCAACAAAATGAACAATTTCACACAGATTTTTTTTTTTTCAAGAAATATATATATAAAAAAAATTATTGATTATTTCAGGGGTTTCCTTTGTAAATCATGATGCAATTAAACTTTCTGCAAAATTATCTTTGAGAGAGTAAAATGTTTCCAGATTTTTTTAAAATCAGCTCTAGGTTTACGAATGAACAATGAAATTGATAAAAGTAAAAGGCAACCGTGAACAAGAAAAAGGAATTTTCATCTACATATATTTCTATACACATTTCAGATATTTATGAAAGTACATCCCCATTTCAGGCGACAGACATGTTGGGTGGGGACATGATATGGGCACATATGATATGAAGACGATTTTTCATTATAAACTTAGTTTTACTCTCATTCCCGCAGTAATAATAGATAAGTGCCTTCCTTTCCTGTTTCTTTTACTATTTGAAGTCATTAAACATCAATTCTTCTTTTGTAAGACAGGTTTTGCTCTACATGCATGTAATCTCCTTCGAATCCGAATAACTAGCGATGAAGCTACAATTTTAACTCTATAATTTACCCCCCAAAATGTATTTATCAAATTAAGCATAAATTGTTCATATCAAAACATGCCCATCGATCTCTTATGAATTTTCTTTAAAAAAAACATTTTCAGTCTGCAGAAAGATAATTTAGTATAGTTTAAATCAAATTTAAAAGAGGTTTGGGGGGGGGGGGTTGTATCTAAGAACCAAAAGCAGGTGTATTATGACTTCCTGATGATGATATAATTTAGAAATCTTGTAATATATCAAGAAACAACCGATGAGACCAAGGAGAATTTAGTAACTGTGAGAAAATGATTTAAATGCAAGAGATTAGAAAACGGGTTTTGCGGTAAATAGTCATTTTTCGACACTGAGTTGAATCCGGGATTGAAATGAAAATCTCCAAGTCTTATTGTGCATATACAGGACAACACCAATTATATTGCAAAATGACTTGACCAAGTTTTAAAATGCAAGATTTCTGGAAACCACAGGTGTTTGTTAAAAATGTCATTTTTCAATTTCAAGGGTACCAAAAGAATCAACTGCATATAGGGTTTATGTCTCCCAGTTGATTCAGTACGCAAGAGCATGCTCTGTTTAGGAACAATTTTTAAAACGATCATTGACTAAAGAAGTAGATGACAAGGGGATAATGTATCAACAGACTAGTTAAAAAATCATCATTTTGCAAGTTCGATGGTTTATACAATGGCCTTGTCGGCAAGTTCAATGAAATATATGGAAAAAATGAACAGAATTCAAGCTCAAACGCCCATTAAATAATACAAAATAGGAGTATTTAAAGCAAACACGGACCTCCAAAATATCAGAGGTGGGATCAGATGCCATGGAGGAGTGAGCATCCCCTGCCGATCGGTCAAACCTGCCGTGTGCACTTTGTCATGATGGCATGGATCGGGAAATAGCAGGAAAAATCCGTCGTCAATTCAGTATGTAAATAATGAACTAACAATAAGTATGAAAAACGTCAGTAATTATTTGACTCAATGGTAAATTTCATTTTCTGACAAGGTCATTGTATCGATCATAGAACTTACGAAATGATGACTTTAAACAAGGCTGCTGACATTATTGCCTCATTAATAACTTGCTTGTCAATAATTAAACTTACCTCGTTTTAGAAATTGTTTATGCGTAAAGCATGCTCTTGCGTTTCGAATCAACTGAGAAATATAAACTCCGTATGCAGCTGACAAAGGTATAATACTGCATAAGTAAGAGAAGTTGACGACTGAAAAGTTAGTCATCACGTTTATATAAAGCTTTGATACAATTAACGTCTTTATATGAAACAGATGTGTCAGACTTTGGTATTTTTTATTTCAAGCTCATAAGAATAAAAATAACTATTGTTAATTGACAATTCCTAAATGTTCAGTTGAAAGCCACAGCAAGTTATTTTTTCTTTTCACGCATAAGATTTTGATCAAATTTTGCTTCATATAAATACAAAATTAGGTCTGTTGAAAACGGGGCGCAATTGGAATCAATTTGACTCCAATAGATTGGTTGGAAGACTTGGTCTCCAAAAACTGCATAATGGAGTCAATCAGAAACTCAAGCATCTTTTTAATATCAACCTCAGAGTATACTTGTGTGTATAAAAAGATTGTTTTTTAAAATAATTTTGTAAATGTCCACTGACAAGGTAAATAAATTTACGAGTCCCCCACCCAAAAAAACAGCTGTCAATGATGTCAGAAAGCCTGCTCTTTAATTTTTCGTGGGGAATAGTATATAAATTTGAAAAGTCATCAGTTTTTATGTCGTTGATTTTGTTCAAGTTTGATGACTTCAAATGCTCCAAAAGTTCCTTGGAATTATTATAGTATCAACACCTGATTTACACCTGTTCTCGAATTCATTGTTGAACAATACTCTTGAAGTTTCTCCTTCATTACTGATAATATCTTAGTGAGGAGTTAAAAAAGAGGCTTGGTAGAATTTTTTCTTGAAGCCGTTATGTATCTTTGTATAGATTTTATAAGGTTTCGGAATCCAATATAGCTATGGTAATTCAAATTCATTTTAGTTGTTGGGAATATTGAAAATATTCAAAACTGAAATACGATTTTGGAGAATTCCCGCCTTACAAAGGGACCTTTGAGTATAAGATAGATTACCACTTGTAGAAGTAAATCCAAGTACTTCTAAAATACAATTTATATAATGAACCTTACAAAGGAAGACAATGTTGTTACCTGCTTTGTCAGCAGGGACCAGTAATACATACTAAATCGTGTAACGCATCTAATTCTTTTTTTCACTTTTGAATTATTGAACATAGAATGAGGGAAGATGGTTCCATATTGCCACTCAGTGCGAGATTTTCACATGCATCTAATACATTTAATCCATTCTGACAGAGTGTCAAGGTCATCTTTCTCATTTCTGGTCCATCGCCTGGCATAATCTTCAACAGAATCCATAATATTTATGAAATTACGACGCCAGTTAAAGGATCAGGGTTCCCTAAGTTTGGGACCTTTTAAAATTAATATTTTAAGGTCTTCATTATTAACAAACATGTCCAGGAGGACTATAGTAATCGGTTGAAGAAGAATATGAACACGAGGGATGATTATATTTCAAATAATGAATTATATTAGATATCCAGGCCTTGTAGAAGTTTCTTGTAGTTAAAAAGTTTGGAATCGAAATACAAGGTGTAGTCTTCAATTTAAAATACGATGGAATACAAGACTGGACTCTCTTATGATTGAGAAGGTCATTAATATTAACTGCTTTAATGCCTTTGTTGGCATAACGGAGTTGAAAGAAAAAAATCTATCATTTAGTCGATTGCTGACTGACATTTTTTTATGATAGGTCATTATTTACACACTAAATTGGTAACGGATTATTTTTTTCGTTTTCCCAATGATGACAAGGAACACACAGCAGGTGTGAACGGTCGGCAGGGGATGCTTACTCCCACTTGGTACTTGGCCCCCTCTTGTGTTTCAATGGACTTCTGTGCTTGAAAACTGTTTATTGAAGGAGTTTGAGATTGAAGAGCACAGACGCACGAACCGGGATACTGTCAATATACCCGAACCTTAAAAAATGAGGCATAATAATATTTTTGCAATCAACAATCCAGAAAAGGAACAGTGATCTAAAAACAAATTACAGTACCAGATACATCCACAGTGAGCCCGCCATAGTCAAATTATTTACAAAAACAAAGACCTATAACAATTAGTATTTATTAGTATTAGTATAAAAGACTTAAAATACGACATAGTGATAGGTTTATATATTTCCTAACATGCAAAAGAATTTACAAATTCCTGGAACATCTGTTAGGAGCCTCCCTCGGTATAATCTTGAAAAATGATCCTACAAAGAACCAGGGACCTATATAATATAGGTCCCTGAAAGAACAGGTCTTGAGTATCGAATATATTGGGAGACATGAAGACCAATGCAGGTGAAGGATGAATCACTTGAGTTCCTATACAGAAAAGGAAAGTTAACAATGAAAAGTCACCCCGTTTGTCATACTTTTTAGTTGTCCGCTGGCCTCAGTTATTTTTTTTTAAGTCGGTAATAATTATAATAAATGAAAATGAACAGATAGATTTTTAGGTCAGGTGACCTATTGCTATCCGTTTTCGTCCGTCGTGGTGCGTTAACATTTAAACATTTTCAGCTTCTTTTCTCTGAAACCGCTGGACCAATTTCAACCAATTTTGGCATAAAGCATCTGTGGGTGAAGGGGAACAAAAATTTTGAATTTCATGGTCTCTGCCCCCCCCCCCCCGGGGGCCTGGGGCTGGGGCAAAAACCAATTAAATTAGTGCAATCTTTAAAAATCTTCTTCTTTACTCCTGGACATCAAGCATGCAGTCAAACTGTTGGTATGATTGTAATCAGCATCGAGTCCTCTACCAAAATTGTGAAATTCATGGCCCCAGGGTCATGGGTTCTGGTGTTAGGGCGGGGCTCTATTGATTATATATTGAAAATGCATTATTTTTTGAAAATCTTCTTCTCTGCTGCTGGGTATTAAATAAACTAATTAAATTCATAGTTATAATGCCTCTACCAAAATTGTGAATTTTATGGCCCCAGGGTCAGGGGTTATGGTGCTAGGGCGGGCTCTATTAATTATAAAGTGAAAATGCATTCATTCTTTGAAAAGCTTCTTCGCTGCTTCTGGGTATTAAATAAACTAATTAAGTATATAGTTATGATGAGCAAGAATGCTTCTACCAAAATTGTGAATTTTATGGCCCCAGGGTCAGGGGTTATTATGTTAGGGTGTGGCTCTATATTGATTATATAGTGAAAAAACATTACATCTATGAAAATCTTTTTCGCTACTCCTGGGTAATAAGCAGATGAACTATTTATATAGTTATGATGTGCAAGGACTCTTCTTTCAGAATTGTGAATTTTGAACAAGGCCCCTGGGTCAGGGATACCAAAGGGGGGGGGGGCTCTACTTATATACTGAAATGAATTTTTTGAAATCTGCTCCTTGGTATTAATCAAACATTTTGATAAGCAAGTGTGCCTTTTCAAATATTGTGCAATGTGTAGACCTAGGGTCAGGGGTTCATGTGTGGTAGGGGCACTTCTGATTATTGCTGAATATTACTGATTAGTTGACATGCATTTTTGTTCCCCTACCCTGCTTATGGGTATTAAGTAAACAAACTAAACAACTGCTAAGTGTATAGTTATGATTAGCAATGGTGCCTCTTTCAAAATTGTGAATGCCATAGTATCTAGCTTAAAACATGAATCATTTGAAAGTTGTTGCATGATGCTCAGGTGACCTATAAGGCCCATGGGCCTCTTGTTTGGAAATAGTTTCTTTTTACATATAGTAACACAATTATTAATAACAACCTGAATTTACATTTATGTCCCAAGAGCTCGTACTTTTGATTTCTATATGCTGTTATAACATTCTATTATTTTTTCCGGATTTGATGTTCTTACCAATACCAGTTTTTGTAGTTTAGCCGTATTGCAAGTTCCGGTGATTAGAGTGTGTTGACTTTGGTTCAGGTTGAGGTTTACTAATATTTTTCTTCAATTTTTAGATACCTGTTGGTCACAGATAGACTCCGAAATGTAACACAACGATGTTGGTTCAAATTATTATTCTGTGATATCATGACGCTTGAGATAGTTCAGAGAACATAGCCATTATATCAGAGTGCTATTGTAAAAGTATGCTGGAAATGAAACAACGTAAAATGGACAAGTGTGAAATATATTGAAGTTGGTGAGCATAAGTCTTAAGTATTATGATAATTAATGGATTCAGAAGAAATAATACTATTGTTAACTTGTCGTTGTGGCATTCTATGATCTAAGATGTAGTCTGTTAACATGTAGCCTAGCACTTTAAACATAACGCAGGTCAAAAAAAAAATGGATAGATCAAGTCTCTCTATTCTCTAAATCAATGACTGAGCTTCAGATTTGCTGCTGTCTGTTTAATTTCTTTCTTATACGCCTCAGATTAACTGTAACAAAATATTTTCATTTCAACATTCAACCACTTTTCACAAGGTTTACTTTTAAAAAAAAATGTTGGATTGGAGATCAGAAGTTAAACTTCAGTTTTGCAAGTAGACAACTTAATCTGATTTTGTATCATTCTATATCAGTCTTTATCAGATATGCATAGTAACCCCATTTTCTAGATTTCTGAGTAACCTTTGTTAATCACTATCCAACTCGGATGTTTTCATGACATAAGACACTTGAGATTGTTTTCAGTACATGAACACAGGAGAATGATTATGATATTTTCATTTTTTAAATTTTTTTTTATTTTTCAGAATATAGAAAATATAAGATAACAAAAATGCCGTACATGGATTTGAAATTACCACACATAACAAAAATGAAACTGATGTGGCCCTCACGAGTAACCACACTTGGTGTAACACTAGGTGTAGCAATAATGGGAATGCTGGCTTTTTATTTCCGCTACCAAAGGAAGATAAAAAAGAAAGAATTGAAATCAAATTCCAGGAAAAATAACTTATCTTTGCCAAATGGTGGTAAGTGATTTCTCTAAAAACAATACATTCAATGCTTTATTTTACATGTGGAGAATTGTAACATACTTTTTTTTAGGTCACCTGAGTAAACTCAGGTGACCTATTGCTATCCGTTTTTGTCCGTCGTCGTGCATCGTGCGTTATCATTTGAACATTTTCAGCTTCTTCTCTGCAACCACTGAACCAATTTCAACCAAATTTTGCACAAAGCATGTATGGGTAAAGGGGAACAAAATTTTTGAATTTCATGATCCCTATCCCCCTGGGGCCTAAGGGGTGGGGCCAAAACCACTAAAATTAATGTAATCTTTAAAAATCTTCTTCTTTACTCCTGGGCATCAAGCAGTCAAACTGTTTGCATGATTTTAATCAGCATTGGGTCCTCTACCAAAATTGTGAAATTCATGGCCCTGGGGTCAAGGGTTCTAGTGCTAGGGCAGGGCTAAATAAGTATATAGTGAAAATGCATTATTTCTTTGAAAATCTTCTTCTCTGCTCCTGGGTATTAAATAAACCAACTAAGTACATAGTTATGATGAGCAAGAGTGCCTCTACCAGTGTTATGAATTTTATGGCCCCAGGGTCAGGGGTTCTGGTGTTAGGGTGGGGGCTCTATTGATTATATAGTGAAAATACATGAATTCTTTGAAAATCTTCTTCTCTGCTCCTAGGTATTAAATAAACTAACCAAGTGCATTGTTATGATGAGCAAGAGTGTCTCTACCAAAATTGTGAATTTTTTGGCCCCAGGGTCAGGGGTTCTGGTGTTAGGGCGGGGCTCTATTGATTATATAGTGAAAATACATGAATTCTTCAAAAGTTTTCTTCTCTGCTCCTAGGTATTAAATAAACTATCTTAATGCATAGTTATGATGAGCAAGAGTGCTTCTACCAAAATTTTGAATTTTATGGCCCCAGGGTCAGGGGTTCTGGTGTAAGGGTGGGGCTCTATAGATTATATAGTAAAAATACATGAATTCTTTGAAAATCTTCTCCTCTGCTCCTAGGTGTTAAATAAACTAACTAAGTGCATAGTTATGATGAGCAAAAGTGCCTCTACCAAAATTTTGAATTTTATGGCCCCAGGGTCAGGGTTTCTGGTGTTAGGGCGGGGCTCTTTTGATTATATAGTGAAAATACATGAATTCTTTGGAAATTTTCTTCTCTGCTCCTAGGTATTAAATAAACTAACTAAGTACATAGTTATGATGAATAAGAATGCTTCTTCCAAAATTGTGAATTTTTGGCCCCAGGGTCAGGGGTTCTGGTGTTAGGGCGGGGCTCTCTTTATTATATAGTGAAAATACATTAAATCTTTAAAAATATTTCTTCTCTGCTACTGGGTATTAAGCAGATGAATTACCTATATAATTATGATGAGCAAGGGCCCTAATCTTCCAGAATTGTGAATTTCAAGGCCCCAGGGTCAGGGGTACCGTAGAGGGGGGGGTGTACATATATACTGAAAATGAATGAATTGTTTGAAATCTGCTCCTTGGTATTAATAAAATATTTTTGAAAAACAAGGATGCCTTTTCAAAAATTGTGCAATGTGTAAGCCTAGGCCTAAGGTTCAGGGGTTCATGTGTGAAAGGGGCACTACTGATTATTGATGAATATTACAGATTAGTTGAATTGCATTTTTTGTTCCCCTACCCTGCCTATGGGTATTAAGTAACCAAACTAAGCAACTGCTAAGTGTATTTTTATGATGACCAATGGTGCCTCTTTCAAATTTGTGAATGCCATAGCATCTGGCTTAAAACATGAATCAAATTCAATCACTGGAAAGTTGTTGCATAATGCTCAGGTGACCTATAAGGCCCATGGGCCTCTTGTTTTATTTTGAAGCCCTTTAAGATAGGAGAAACTTTATTAATCTGTATATTGTAGATATCCACGGGCATACTTTGGGCAGATATACAGAGAGTCCATCCTCTCTCTTGAATTCCTTGAAACAGAAGTCTCTGTCAGGTTCCGTGTCAAGTATAGGTGGTGCCTCTTCTGCCTCCACAATTACCCACCAGTTAGTGGACACTAGCAGCATGTCACCAACACAACTGTGTAAACTAGGTAGGGCAAATAACTGCTGGAAAAGTAAGCCTTGACCATGTATGAATTTATGATACAGCTTTCTTTTTACTGTTGTTGTTAAAATAAAATATTTATTCATATTTTCAGGTTTTGAAACTCTCCAACAAGCTGTGGTGTATTGGGAAGATGGTTTAATGAAGTTATCCTTTAATGAAGATAGATCCAAACCCGCTATATTGGTAAGTTGGGATATAAATAATTCAAAACTAACACATACAAAACTTTCCACACAGAAACTGATTCAGAACATTTAATTTTGCCATTCAAACTAGAAATAATCTTTGCTTTGTCTCACACATATTTTAGTCTCTGTAGATTTTTTTTAAAAATGAATGTTAACAATTTCATTAATTGTTTTAAAGAGCAGTTATATGGAGGTTGATAAGGTACATGTAAAGCTATAAAAATGCTTGTTTATATTTCTGAAATACAGTTATTCTACTAATATAGATGTAAAATATATTTTCCAAGTATAAAAGTCATTTGAGAAGAAAACATAGATTAAAACTTATTTTTCTAGGATCCAGAGACAGCGGAGTTGCAGCATCAGATGGATCAACTACTGGACGCTGCTTACAGAATGATTGATAATTTTGAGCGTCGTGCTGAGAGACAAGCTGACAATATTGCCCTGGAGGTTGCAATGGCGGCTTACACAGAGACAGACATACCGTCAGAGAGAACAAAAAGCTTTGATGCAGGGTCTTTCAGCGACCAAGACTCCTTTGTCTCTGCTACTGACGTTAGTATATTCATATGGTTTCCATTTTAATAAATCGATGTTCAAAACTACATTGTGATGTTTTTTATTTTTATTCAAAAGTTGGTGTCAAATATGAACATTTATGTAAATTTATGTACATATTTTATATATTTTTTTATTGTAGATGGCAAACTTATCAGACTTAGATAACCATAGAGAAATGTTTCAGCATCTTCCTTTATATGAAGCAGGTCTCTTAGAATTAAAACATGGTCATGTGCCATGCAGGACTCTAAGGCAGGATATTAATTTCTACATTTTCATAAATATTTGATTCAATACTTTTAGCTTGATTCTAATTTTCAAATTATTTTGACAAAATCATGGTTGCTCTTTAAGAATTTTCTTCTTACTCAGAAGTTATGACTAACATCTTCAATATTTTTATTGCCATTTAAGAAATGAATATGGGTATGTTTGATCTTTTTTAGGACTGAGATGACTCAGTGTATATCAGACACAGAGTTCTTGGCAAAGTTGCACTGTATCCGTCTAGCTTTCAATGTATGTACACTATAGTAGAAATAATTTTCTAAATCAAGAATTCCTCCATTTGATCTAAACATCCATTTAGGTTAAAAGTTACACTGTATATAAATTAATGGGTGAGTAATATTGTTCACATGCTATCTTTTAGGTTATATTTAAACAATCAAGTCTAAGAGATTACTTCAGAACCATGGGTAAACAATTAATTGGTGACCTGCTGATCCGAGCTGATAGGGTAAGATTAAAATTTATCTATAACATATAAGCTTAGTAATCTTTTGATTGAGCTTACAGTCCTTTACTTCCCCATCTAGGTGTAACTGTGGAGAATCTAAATCACCATACTCTCTTCTCTACTAATAATTTGTTCCTTTTTGAAGGATCCAGATGAATTCTACACAGCATATGATGCAATGATAGATTTTATAGAAGTGGAGGACAATTGGTTCAAAATTGAAGAAGAATTAAAAGGACGGGGTGTAAGTCAAGTTACTGGAACTATTCTTTGCAGTAATACATTTGTAATATATGAATATTCATTTTCTATTGATCATATATTTATTATATATAAAATATCTAAATTTTCACAGTTTTTTGGGCTTATGTATGTAGTAAAGTGACTAAGTGAAGTTCTTACTTGTGATGCAACTTAATGGTGTTCCTGCTTGAGTACATGAATTAGTTAAATTGCAACAGAAAATTCACAGATCAGCAAAGAATGTGTTTTTCAAATAACTGTCATATAATTGAACATTATTTTTTTTTTAGGTAAAATGCATGTCCTTTTATGACATAGTATTAGATTTTATACTGATGGATGCATTTGATGATTTGGAAAATCCCCCCTCCTCTGTTATTGCTGTAATTCAGAACAGATGGTTATCTAGAAGCTTCAAAGAAACTGTAAGTATTTATCCTGAGATCTCAAAATTACAGTAATCAACACATTTTAAGTCATTATTTGTATATTTATGATTTTTAATGGATATACTCAATAAATGAAAAAAAAAACAACATTTGGATTAGTACTGGTCAGTTTTGGGTATCAATGTTGTATTCTTTGACAGGCTTTTTCTACAGCTGTTTGGTCAGTTTTAGGGTATTGATACTGTTTTCTTAGACAGACTCTTTCTACAGCTGTTTGGTCAGTTTTAGGGTATTGATACTGTTTTCTTTGACAGGCTCTTTCTACAGCTGTTTGGTCTGTTTTGAAAGCTAAAAGACGACTATTGAAGGTAAGCAACCGGATATTTTTTATGTCAGAGATATAATATACATCTGAATTTTTATGAAGTGCAAGGTAGTCTTTGAATGAACTATGCCACATATAGCTAACATTTAAGATGATACTCAGTTTTCAGATGGATTTATATCCAAGTTTTACTCCATTTCTGAACATACAAGCCCAGTATTAGCCTGGGGTTTCATGGGACCAGAATCAAACCTCAAAGAATTATGCATGTTTTTTAAGGTAAGCATTGAAGCCGTTCAAAGCATCTAGAAACTTTATATATTTATCTATACATGTATATCTGTTTACAAAAGAAAAAGTTTGGTAGGACTTTTATTCCTGTCAGTCTTTTAATTGAAATGACTGTATGTAAGAATTACCTCCATTGTTTGATTTTTGAAAATTTAGCAAACACAAATTTCAAGGACTATAGTAATTGACACAGTTTTTAAATGTTTATTTATTATACCTCTGTTATGCAGAGGAAAGTAACTTGTCTTCCCTCCCCTTTGACAGGAATCGGTTTTGAAGTTTCTCAGGGACATGTTTAGTTTCGAGTATGTCCGTTACACAACCGTAGATGAGTTAGCAGATGACATTGCAAAGTTGTTACAAAACAGAATAGAAGAAGCAGCGGACAAGATTTCCCCAGAAAAGTTAGACTTCTAAAACAGGACTGGACATTAAGCCATTCTGTTTCAGTTTTTATCTTTGTTTTTTTTTTTTTTATCATCTGTGATTTTTTTATTGAGCTGTTATGAATACACCAGGAGTTTTAACTTGACAGAGTGAAATGCCACAGTGAACTTATTCCTTCGAAATTTGTCCTATCTTTTTTTTTTTTTTCCTTCTCTTTCAAAATCTGTCTCACTCAAAAATCAATAGATATTTTGTCTTGTTTTGATGATTATGCTAAAATATAATGTAGTTTCTTTGGTAAGACAATGATTCTTAAATATCAAAATAAGATGTAAGAAAAAAATGGTGCTTTCTCTAAGAGCATAGCAAGGTAGATGGACACTGTAGCACTTGGTTCTCTGGTTCAAGTTGTGTGATAAATAAGGATAAATCATGTTTCTGAATTTGTTTTAGATCTCATTTGTACTTAAATGCCATTGTATTATACTATAGAACACTTAGTTTTATACACTTGTTTATAAATTTTCAGTCTTTTATTAAAAATGAAATGTAGATAGTTTTACTGTCTTTATTAGTAATATCATATAACATGTTGTTGTAAGCAATATGATGCTCATGTTCCATTTTGTTTAATGAATAAAAATCGATTTTTTTTGTTGTGAGTTCAGTTCATGATTCTAATAATAAACCACACTGACAGATGAACTGAACTAAAGTAACACAAATAAGTAACAATTAAATGTGGCATTTTAAAATAAATTTTCACTTTTTGTTGTGCAGTGGCAAAACTACATATTTGTAACCAATTTGGAGAGTAATTTATATAAGCATACATGTAATACCTTCCATCATTTCAAATAGAAAAACAAGGCCATCTGAAAAACCACAATAATCTTGTTTTCTTGGTACTTTTCAACTGCTTGTTATCTCCAGGATTTTAATAGTGGGAACATCAAGTATTGGAATGATTAATGGAGGGCCCTTCCTCTATAATGACCCTTGACCCTTTCCTTGCTCCGTTAACTCCGTTCCGGTTCACTTGTCCTCCGTTGACATAGTGAATGGCACCAGAATCAGGGGCTGGGGAATCACTGGCTCTGTGAATAATTTCAGAAAATTGAAGATCTTTTCGCTGCTAAGCATTTGTAAATTTATTTTTATACTTACTTTTCATATGCAAGGTACCATACAAAGTACCGTACGCATAAATATTTTTTAAAAGATATTCTAAATTAAATTCAAAGTGGACAAATGTCCTTCATTTATCAAAAGTCTCCAGTTCCCTGAATACCAGGAAGTTTAAAACTACGTAACCTTAATTCTTAAACCCCATACAATATGTATTATTTTAGATATATGTGTTACCTTCGACACAGGAATATTATGATGAGAACCAGTACAATAGTGACCGCCAAACTGGCCGCTACGATTCCTCCCGCTATGGCCCCGTCATTGGTAGGATCCGTCATTAGACGCTGGGTCGGCACCGTCACACCTTAATTAAACAAATAAGGTAAATTAAATACATGCATGCTATTTTTATGATGTCAACTTTTTCTACGAAAGGGGATTTTTCAGTGTTAAATCGAAAATCATGAACCTGTATTTAAATCAAATTTCTTACAAAGTTGCTCCAGAGCTGATACATTCCATGTTCCTTGACATATAATTCCCGACATTGATGGCCTTAGGCCAGAGTTACATGTGTACGTGCATTCATTACCAACATATGGTGCACAGTCCGGACTCACTTTTCCGTTAGGAATAATCTCTGGACACTTTACAACTTACAAAAGAAAACAAATATATATGCTATTGCATACCTTTACCATCTGAAGTAGTTATTTCTCAAATGGTAACGTTCAAGAAGTAATCATAAACGAATAATTTAAACATGCATTTCTTGAATTTCCAAGACTACCTCCTTCACACGTTCGTTTATCATTCTGAAGGTTCACAGCATCTGGACATGCGCATTTGCGTCCTCTGGATGTTGGTAAACAGAATGTACTGCAGCGGCCGTTAGAAACAGAGCAAACACTATGCACTATGGAAAAAATCAAATAAATACCAAGTGCCTATCAAAAATTAAAGCGTAACTAATCACAAACACTACCTGCTGGTGGTATTTCAATGTGCTGCTTTGACCACATTCTTGTAATGGTCTTGTAATTGATTGAATTAAATGTATATTTAACAGTCAGAAGTAAGCTCGAAAGGTCATTGGAACAGTACAAATCGGGAGCGGAGCAAACAGACCTATAAAAAAAACTGTCAGAGTTAGATCAGATGCCATCGAAATTACATCCCCTATCGCTCAGTCACACCCGCCATGTGCTCCTTGTCGTGATGAGGCGAACGGATTAGGGGAAATCCGTACAATTAAGTCAAAATATTATCCTCAGTCAACATTCAACTAAATGACAGATTATATTTACAAATAAGATCATTGTCTTGACCAAAGTATTTGCAAAATAATGATTTTTTAACGCCATTGTTGATATCCTTGTATCATTAACTGAGTGATTATTTTCCAACAGCCTGTCCCATTTTAGAAATTGTTCTTGCATAGAACTTGCTCTTTTATATGGAATCAACTGGGAGACGCGATAGGCATGAACTGTGATGCAGAAATGTATATGAATTGTGGTTTCTATAAACAGGACATCATATCCTATTATAATAGAATAAAAACCGAAAATGTCAAATTAAGGTCATTGTTTGGTACCCGTTTTCAACTAAAACTAGTGAAAATGCAATAGTTGAAGGAAAAAAAACTATGTATGCATTTAGAATAATATTGATATTTATTTACATGTACAGTATATACAATCAGGAACTCATGAACAAAATGGTTTCATTTCTATTAGATTTTAAAATATTTTGTGTATATTTATTCAGACAACATAGCATGTGCAAGATAACATTTATTCCAATCACATTTAGATTTTAAACATGATATATTTTCCAATCGTCAACTTACCTTAACTTACCATACCTTATCTAGTAAAACCAGATAAACCATGAATGTTTGCAAATTTTTGATAACTACAAGTTGATTTGATGCGCAAAACCATGTTCAATGAATGGACAATTTCTAAACCAAGACAATTTATTGATAAATAAGATTATGATACAAAGGCATCAACAATCACAATTTACAACTTCTATATGGCCGATACATTTACTGTGTTGATGAATATAATCTGTCGTTATGTCAAATGTTCACTGATGTTTTTCAATTAAAGCCAACATTTCCATACTGAATAGTGTACCTATTTCTCCATTTCCATTCACAACTTGTTAAAAAATGAATTTCATGACAAAGAATTTAAGAAGGATATGGAGATAACGAACAGTATTCATATAAAACAATCCTCACGGACTATAACATCAGAGGTGGGATCAGGTGCCATGATCCCACACCCGCTGTGTTCTCATATTTACTCCATTTACAACTTGTTAAAAAATGACTTTCGAGCTTGACTACTCCTTGTTATATCTTCACACTTTCTGAAATAACCTTGTTTTAGAAATTGTTCAGATACATGCTCTCAAAAGGCAGGTGAGGAAGGTATATTGCTGATAAAAGGGAAGTTGACATTTAAAGTCGATCATATAACTTGGTTATTAGGTTACCATTAACGTCTTTTTCAAGTAAAATATCCAAATATAAACAGATGTGTCAGACTCTGTGGTATCTTTTATCTCAAGCTCTCCTGGATATATCGTATCGACGTAGGAATGGAAATTACCATGGTTAATTGACAATGCGTCGTCGATATATCTGAAGGTCGAGTTGAAGGCCACAGCAAGTGTTTTCTTCTTTTCACGCATAAGATTTTGCATAAATTCTGGTTCATATGAATACAAAAATAGGTCTGCTAATAACGGAGCGCAATTGGTTCCCATGGGAATTCCAATAGATTGTTGGAAGACCTGATCTCCAAAAACCACATAGATATTGTCAATCAGAAACTCAGGCATCTTCTTGATGTCAACTTCAGAGTACTTGTGTGTACAATCAGAATCTTTTTTGACAAAATAATTTTGCAAATGACCAATGACCAGGTAAATAAATTTACGCTTTTAAACTTTCTTTTTCATAAAAGTAGAATGTATTTATTTAATTTCGTTTTTTTTTGGTGTTACCTGGTATCACTTTTTCTCCATAAACTTGCAATGATTGCAGCTTCCCAAATTCTGCAGAATAATTCATCCATGCGATCTCTTTTGCAGTTATAAGTGAGGCCTTTGTTATTTTCCTTCAACAAAAGTGAAAAATGAACGCATATCTTGCAAACACCACAATATTAATTTCCTAAAAGCGAAGCTCAAAATCGTTTCTTATTCTTAAACAGTTTTAAAAATTTTTAATTGTTGAAATATTTGACTTACTGGTCATCTAAGGCCGTGTAATAGATATGGTCGCCACTGATATCAAAATGTCTGAATTTCTGCCTCCTGTCTTGAAGTAAAATGCCCCTGTTCTTACCATCAAGGTCACAGAAATTTATTGTACCTAAATCTCCATCGGTCCAGTATAGGAAATCATCTATTTTGTCAAAATAAATAAGCATATTATGTCGTACCCTAAAATTTCCATGATTAATCAGATACTTAAAAAAAAATTACAGGTATTAACCAAGTATTTGTACAATAAATCTATATTGCATGTATTTTGAAAATGATATAATATTATATATATAGACATTTCAAGAAAAGTAAAGTTGAAGAGAGACGTGCACCGTATGTTTAACCCCAAGTACTGTAAAATAGTGGTGATAATAATTTACTTTTGTAATCCAAAGTCAAGCTGTTAGGTTGTGAAATGTCCTTGAAAATGAGGTTGATCATAGCTGACCCATCCATGTAGGATCTCCCTATATAAGAAGCTGAGTAAACTAGGTCAGACCAAAACAAATACCTGAAATATTGCAAATCATTAACTAGCTTTTTATTTCTTTTTTTGTTTTTGTTTACGATGCACTCTTGAATAAACATGTTACATTAATTATATCACAATAATTATTCCGTATAGACTTTGTAACGTGTTACCCTTTTTGTGGATGTATTGCTATGTTGTAGACAGAGGTTAGTCCCGGGACGACAGTTTTTCTCTCCCTTGTTTCTATATTTAGAATTCCTATGTAGGACTTGGTGCTCACGGCTGAGTAGATGAGATGGCCAGTTGATGGGTCCATAACCAAGGCCTGGGGCTCAAATAGCCCTACACGTTGTGGTAAATAAACGGATTTTTTTTAAATTGAATTGTTTATTTTTAATTCAAGGATTGCATGTGATTTTTCATATCTTTGATATCCAAGATCATAATTATTTGAAATACGTTTTAAAATTGATTTTTTTAAAAAGTTTTAAATAAAAAATTATCAAACAGCGAAGAAAACAAATGGTATAGTTGCTAAAGGTATCTTTATCTAAAAAAATCTTTATTTACTATATCAGGCATTTCAATTAATGGAAAATTCAATTGTACCTGTATTAGTCAGAGTGACAGACTTTCGACCCGACATCGACAATTGTCTAATCTCACGGTACATCGCATCAGAGTAAATCAGATTGCGGTCGAGGGGGTGGAAGATTGCGTTCACCGGCCGAATTGTCTCACTTACGTCTATTGCAACAACATTAGCATCGGCCATTGACACTTGGAAAATGGTAGCGTGCGTAAAGTCAACAGTCAACACAAAGTCACTCTGCAATGGAACTAAAAGTACAAACTCGTTAATTGCTCTGCACTTGAAAAGGTTTACTGGGTAATGTCATGTTCATGTTTCGTAAAATGGACACGAATCAATTTTCAGAATCTTCAACGAATATATTTAAAAAGAAATTTTAGTTTTTATTGGAGGCATATGAGATCGAAAGACATTTATGTTTCTATATGTTTTACTATTCAAAGGTCACAATATGTGCATATAAAGCTGGAAACCAACGAGTTTGACAAGTTTTCCTATCCTTCCTTAGCTTGTATCCAAGGCGACATTTGCACGTTTTGGTACCATTTAGTCTAGGGATACAAATATGTTCACAATCGCCATTTCTCACACGACAAATGTCTGTAAAAGAAACGACATTACTTCGTGAAACATACTAGTATATGGAGATAACGAAAAATATTCAAGATCAAAAGTACATAAAACAATATAAAATAGGAGCAAACACGGACCTCCAAAACATCAGAGGTAGGATCAGGTGCCATGGAGGAGTGAGCATCCCCTGCCGACCGGTCATATCCGCCGTGTGCTCCTTGTCATGATCGGGAAATAACGGAAAACCCGTATGAAAAACGTCAGTCAATGCTTGACTCAATGATAAATTGTTTTTGCTGACAAGGTCATTGTATCGACCAGAAAACTTACAAAATAATGACTTAAAACGAGATTAATACTAAAAAATGCTTAGAGTTTAAAAGCAAGCCAATTCTTTAAAACAAAGTTCTCTCTGTTATATATAATAATTATTGTTTGTCGGTTGAAAATTAACTTAAAGTTTTTACTTTTAATTTTATTACAGTTAATGTATCTTTTTTTTCATTTGCCCAATCGTGTCAAGTAGACAAGGCTTATGTTACCGTAAACCGGGGATGCTTACTTTTCCGCGGCACCTGATCCAACCCATGATGTCTTTAAGTTCTGATTTTGCTATATTCCACATTTTATTGTTCAAACGGACTTTTTAGCATGCTTACTGTTTACTATCTTCGTATTTAATTAAAAGTAACAGTTTGCTGAAGTCCAATGTTATTCAAATGTAATGTTTCAAATCAACCTCAAATAACATTTAAAACATTATCAAATTTAATCGTATGTTTTAAGACAGGAAGCAACTTAACATCACTACAGTAAGTAAATTTTATAAAATAAATTCCAAAACGTTCTTTTCCGGTATTCACTTTTAATTTCATAGATATTTTATTAATTTGGATTCATACGAATTCTGGCTTGATTATTTATCTCAACGTATGCAAAGATACTTTCAAGGATATAAAATTTTATGATATATTAGATACTAATTTAAAAAATCATAAATACCTTTGGGCGTAAAGTATTCAAGTAATAATTTCATAGAATTAAGAAGGTTTTATTTTTTAATTATTATTTTTTTTTGTTGAAATTTTTTAAAACATTATAAATCGTCACGAAATGTTACCTGTTTATCATATGCTTTTTACACAGCGTTTAGAGTGTTTGAGGTTTACCTTCTGAAATTGGTTGTTGAGATTGGTCGTAAACAACGGCTTTAGTAAATATATACGGCACATCTAAATGTCTGTGGATGCCTGGTGATTTAATATTGGTAATGCGAACTTCGCCTTGGTTTTTCAAAAGCAAGAGATAGTCCTAGAATTGAACAAAATATACACAGTTAAAGACCGACAATAAACATTTTAAAAAGATATACCATATTATATAATTATATGCTATGGATAGAAAGTAATGTTATATTTCACTTTAGAGAATAAACTTATTTATTGAATCATCCCTGAGAATTACCTTGTATTTTGTAAAGGAAATGATGTTATATGAAGTATATATCTGTATCTCATTTGTTTCCAGATCCATGGAGTAAACGCCGTCTATATCAACCCACCATAGCCTGTCAAAGAAGAAGATTTTTCTCTAGATCAAGATTTAAAAGTTTTCTTGAGATCAAAAAAGAAAAAGGACTTTTAAATTGTGAGTTTTGCTGTTGCAGGGTCAATAAATCAGGGTAGGTAAAGATATACCGAGTTTTAACTATGTACCTATGACCTTTTATATCGATTGACAATTCGCTAGGGTTTTTCAGGTGCTTTGAATTTACAGCTACCCAGCGTTCCACTCCGTCGTAAGTTCCGGCCTCTATAATAAACGTTCCAACAACACCGCTTATCCAGTATAGTGTTCTGAAAATATTCAAAAAAAGTTTGAATTTTTTTGAGAAAGTTTTTAAACGGCAAGTTTGGTCGAACAGAAATGATTCTGCATGGTCTCGATAGCCTGAGTTATAGATTCCTATACATAGACAGTTGTACACAATAGGAAAAGACAAGAAATAATGCAAGGCAGTTCTGTTACAATTGATGCCCAAACCAAAACAAAGCAATTTTATTCCAAATCTTTTTACTTATGGTAAATTTTTAACACCCTTGGGTATTCAAATTGTATTCAAATCTATTTAATGTATCTGAATTTGACAACTGTTATGAATTCCTGCTCTATCCTTTTTTTCTGTTTTTAAGACCATTACCAATTACTTTTTTATTTTCAATATTTGAATAATTCACTGTTTTAAAATTTAATTATCTATTAAAGTTTATGCAAAGATATTCCTCTGGTTTCATTTATCACACAAAATTCATATATATTCCTTTAATTTTTTTGTTTCTGAATTTAGGACTACATGTATTTATCAGTATAACATTTGGCAAATTATTTTTGGAAATATCTATTCTTACAGATTCCAGTATTTTATCATAAACCTGTATGTCTATGAATACATGGAATTTAATTCTCCGGGATTACCCAGTTCAGTCGTCCTTGGTAGTATAATTATATACCTGTTGAGAGGATTGATAGCAAGTCCAGATGGATGGTCAACGTTCTGAAAAACTGGCATCTCCATTGGAAACCTCTCATTTACAAACATAATCAGCCCTGTATTCCTCTCCGTCCAGTAAATATTACTGCTTAACCAATCAACACATAGGCCTTATAATATAATATTACATAAATTGTTACAAAGCAAATTTTATAATAAAGCCAATGGATATCAAAATAACGCTTTAAATTTATATGTATATCAGCAAATCATCGTGATATTCATTTATTACGTTGATTCTCATTATTTTATTGTTATATAAATCATTAGTTTCTCTATACCTTACAAAGATATTCATCTGTGGTTAATTAAAAAAAAATAACTAGACTATTATTATGCATGTACAATGACTTTAAATACACTAATTGGCAATTGCACTCACCAGAAACTACAGAAACTGACAATAGTTCTTTTATCAGCCCAGTGCTTATGTCAAACATCAATAGCTTCTTGTTATCACTGTCCTCAAAATAAATTTTATTATTACGTGTGTCCACCGCATAATGAGATATAGATTTGTTCCAGTGTAAAACACAGTTCACCTCTGCTGGCATTCCGGTGAGTACAAGAACGTCCACAAAGCAGATAGATGAAGTGTTTGATAACAAAAGAGATTTCTGATGTACCATAGTATTTTCTAAAACAAACATAAAAAATGTCAATAATCGTCTTATTTATAGAGGGGTTCCATATTTAGAAATTAGAGTTTTCTTGTTTTCATAAAATAAATACAAAGAAATGAACAAAAAATGTAAGGTTAATGTTTAAATAGAGCATTAATGGGGGCGGGCAATGAAAAGGTACAACCGCCCACTTCTGTGACGTCATACATACGTGTACAGTTTATCCCATTTTCGGTCAGTTTGAGTCCGTCCGGACAAAGACACTTAGCTACGTCATCTTTTGGACCAATACAAATAAACTCGCATCCCTTTTCTTCACAACGTTCTAAAAATAGTACAAATGTTTATCAAATTTTTCATATAGTCAATGTCTTCAAAGTAAACGGTCTTAATTTTACAATAAATATAACAAATTAAATATACTAGTAGTTTTTGATATTGATGGAATTCATTGTAAAATATTGGATTGAACAGCATTTTTATACTTTTAAAGGCTGTCAAAAGACAGAAATTATTTATTTTAAAAATAAAATTATTCAAAATACCACTTTACGTGTTTCATTGCCTTGATCCTTGTCTTGTATGAACGTCAGTGCCTGGGGTACCTTGTATTCGTACTTTCCATCCTTGGGCCATTGAAACAAATGTTGCCAAACTGTCTCTCCTGTTTGTTTATTAATGCATTCAACCAGGTAAGCAAACTGTATTGCAACACAGAGTATGTTCTGAAAAAAAGTTTTTAAAAAAATTATATGGGTAAAGATACTGGGGAGTGACATGGAGAATCTGCTTAAATGTAATGTAAACAAACTATATACCAACATAAAGAATAAATTTACACATACAGTGACATGAAGAACAAGGCTAGAAATCATGTCTGAAAAAAGCAACAAACACTTTATAACATGCAGAATGTTCTGAAGAAATAAAGGATGCAGCGATCTTTAAAACATTACCAAACTGGTCTGACACACAGAAAATGTCCTGAAACAAGTATGCAAGTGAAAGAATCGTAACACAGAGAGGTCTTTCGAAGGTTTTCACTTTCTGCAGTACAATGAATTGTCTTTTTCCAGAGACAACTTTTTTCACTCCATGTCTAATCGAAATATTCTTTCATTTCATTTTAAAATAACGTAGAGTTTATTAAGAGTTGTAGGTAACTTCACATATTTCAGTACATGCAACAAGATTTTTTTTCCGTAAAAAGGCCACTTCTAGATTAAAAATAGTCACAAAGATTTAAATTTTCTCAGCAGATCTAGAACAATAATTCATTGTGCAGAATAAGATTATTTAGAAAACGTCTGCATAGGCGTTCTTTTTTTCATTGTAGGACGAGTAAGAAAATTAAATTGGAACTATATTGCGGTAATAAAATGTCTCAAAAGAATCTGGGGGCAAGTCTCCGTAGAGATGGCATGAATGTCATTGTTATATTTCTGCATGAAAAACTGGGTACTTCAAGGTCGCATTAGATTGATTGTATATTGTTTAACGTCCCTCTCGAGAATTTTTCACTCATATGGAGACGCCACCACTTGCCGGTGGAGAGCTGCAAATTTTGTCCTATACTCGGCACTCAGGGCCATTGAGCAGGGAGGGATCTTTTTCGCGCCAGCACCTACTGCGACACGGGACCTCGGTTTATACGGTCTCATCCGAAGGACCGGTCTCCACGTCCCACAGTGGGATCGAACCCGCGACATAAGGATTGACTCCTTCGCGACTATAGAGCAGACGCTGTAACCATTGCGCCACGCGGGCGACAGGTCGCATTAGAAGTCCCTGTATTATTGACCTACTTGGTATAGTGTAAGACCACTCATGGACATCAGCAAGGAAGGTGATCTCTTCAACACTCTTCTGTCTAACCCATCATATCTACACGTCTCTAGAGTTTCTCTTCCAATATCCAACCAAAAGATCCGCCTCTCTGTTTCATCTACGACAATATCAGTGACCAATAGAAGACCAGATAACAACAGATTCTGGTCGCTCCCAGAAAGGGACGACTTCCATATGGCAGATCCTTTGCCATATTCTGCAGACCAGATGAGAAACCTTGGAATAAAGTTGTAAATAAATAAAATAAATAAAATGACATTTACTAGTAATCTATTTGCTTGATATTGACAGAGGAAATCATATATTCTTCTCGTTTATTCCATAGCCTATCTCTGTATTCACATAAAGCAGAATGTGTTCAAAGACTTATAAGAAGAAAGAAGAAAACAATTGCTGCTGCCTTCAGCTCGAGATTTAGATATATATCGACGACGTATTGTCAATCAACAATGGTTATTTTCATTCTTATGTTGATACTACATGTTTATGTCCCAGTAAGCTTGAGGTAAAAGATACCACAGAGTCTGACACATCTGTTTCACACTTTGATATTTCACTTAAAAAGACGATGATGGTAATCTAACAACCAAGCTTTGTGATAAACGTGATGACGTTAATTTTTCAGTCGTCTACTTCCCTTACTTATGCAGCAATATGCCTTTATTCCCTGCATAAGGGGTTTACATCTCATATAGTTGATAAAATACTCAAAATCATGCTCTACGTATGACAATTTTTTAAACAAGGTAAGTAAATGACAAACAAATTGATGAAACAAGAATATCAGAGTCTCGTTTATTTCGTTAGTTCTATGATCGATACAATAGCCTTGTCAGCAAATACAATCTATCAGTAGTTTTTTTCAAACTAATTGGTATGCCATCATTTACACACTGATTTGTCGACAGATTTTTTTTTCGTTATTTCCCGATCATAATAAGGAGCACACGGCGGGAGTGACCGATCGGCAGGGAGTGCTCTCTCCTCCATGGCATCTGGTCTCATCTCTCATATATTAGATGTCTGTGTTTGCGCTACTCCTATTTGTATTGTTTAATGGGCTTTTGAGCTTGAATACTGTTTGGTATCTTGAAATATTCCATATTTATAAAAATTGAACATCAGAGCTGTTCTATAGGGATTAAAACCAAAATTCAATTTTAATTTCGAATGCTTATGAGTACTGTATTGGTATTTTGATTTATCGTATTCTTCAATTAACTCACCCATTAAGTGGATCAACAGCGATTGATTTCGGTGAAAATAGACCATCTACCACCGTTCTCCTATTGGGATCACCGACACCCTTAATAGGTTGAACTGTAATCCAGTTGTATGATGGGTCTAGATGATAAATATTCTTTGAGAGCCAGTCCACGGCTATTTTTGACGATGGTGATGAAAATGTGCGAATAACATTACTAGTAAGTTTATCTGTTTGAGTATTGCCAGAGAAGTTTTTAATAATGTACAAACTGGATGAAATGTCGTTCATGAAAAGTGTCTGATCAAATGGATCATATTCCAGTTCGTTGATGTTTGTAACATTAGAGAAACTGATTGGCAGTGAAAAGTGTTGATTGGTAGACGTTTGAAGTGGAGCACGTATGTATACGAGGTGACCATTGTCCGTTCTGTCCGGAGCCAGGGATACAATAAGGGTATCCTCACATGTTCCAATTCCTGACAATGTTAAAGACAACATTAATATGTCTAATTGTCTACAGAAAAGATATCATTCATATACTAAGTATTATAATTCATTAGATTTTTTTATATAGACCTACACCAATATGTGCTAATTATTCCTTTTGTAGTTTGTAACATACACCCCCCACCACCACCACCACCACCAAAAAAATAACTTTCACCACAAAAGTAAACAAACATGAAACAAAAATCCCTAAAAATCCACCAATGCATCAGTCAATTTAAATTAAAATTAAATAAAAATATAAACGAAGTTAGTTATAGAGTTAAATGGTAAAAGTAATCAATATTAAAATATTTAAACCATTTTTAACTAATTTACCTTCGGTAATTACCGGTAACTTATATTAAATTTGTTCTGAGTGCGGATTTTTTTTTTTACCTTAAAAAAGTCTTTTGTAAAGGTTTATCATATGAAGAAAAAAACAAGTTTGTATAAAAAAAATAATAAACTATATCAAAATCAAATAAAAATTAAAATAAAAAGCAAACCTACCTTGATTAACAGAAAGAACTATTATAAAAGTAACAAACATATCCACAATGGTATTAAAATAAAATCTTAATAGAAAACAATGTATTCAAGATTGAATCGGTGGCACTGTTCATCTCTGACCACAGTTATTCATGTAAATAATAAAATCTTTGTAATTGCTTACTTCTATTAAAAGTTAATGGTTTGCTGCTGATAATGTCAATTTTCGCTAAAAGCATGTCATAAAATTATCCGTATACCCGAAAGACTGTGTGTAAGATCTATGTTTCATTAGAATGACACATGCTATAAAATTTAATTGATCGAGGTAGATAGTTTATATATATCTATTAGTCAATAGCTAACTATTCGGCATTGTTTGATATATTTGTACAAAGATTATTGGAACAATAGACAATAGTCAATACGTGTAAAAAAAAAAATTAAACAAAAGGGACTCAGTTTTAAGGATTTCATGCATATTTTATATTACTAATTTATACATTTCGATACTAATTCACACAATTGAATTAGTGTTAAATATATTATTAATTTTTTGTTTTGTTTTTGTTTGAGATTCAATTTATGTAAAGCACAGTTATAATTATAATTGTTGCTTTACACGTATTGAGGAACAAAACATGATTTTTTGGAGAACAAATCAAAAACTTTTTTATTCATTTCAAACTAAGATTTAATACCCATGTTCTATTTGTACAAGACTGTCAGCTGAAGATATCAAGTCATGGGAAAACAAATAATGTTGGAGCCATTTGATCTCACGCAAACTCCTTAAATCTGTTGAAAATAAAATACGACCTCTAATCAACTGTTACTTGTAGTGGGAAACAATCACATCTAGTTTTCATCTTTTCTCGGGGACATTGAGGATTCCAGACATGTGTTACAGGGAAGGTAAATAATTTTAAGCTTAATTCTTAGATAACTGAAAAACAAATCTAACAGATAAAACTAAATACCATAAAAAATAATTTCATAGTAATCAATTTGATTTTTTTTTTTTCATTTTCTTCAAATGGAGTTGTAAAATTCCTTTAACCATACTTTACTTAAACTCTGCTTTTAAATTTTGATTGTAGAAAGATGAAAGGTTGAACACCTTCTTGTCTGAAACTTATTCTTGTCAAGATATTGAGACAATCAAATATATGTTCTTTTAAGAATATTTTCAACATCTCTTCAAACATCAAAGAAAACTTCCTACTACTACTTTTTAAATACTGGTAGCAAATTGAAGTTCAGTTTTCTACAGTTATTTTTTGGTTTTCATTAGGTTTGTTGGTTGTTTCTGTGCTGAGTTTGGTGGGGATTTCTGTTGGACTACTGGCGGACACTACCGACATGTGTGATATCCTCCGAGTCATTGACTGTGATCATCATTACCATTCCAGTGGGGACGAGACTCTGTGCTGTACGGACGGACACACCTACAGTAACAAGTACATAGATATAGATAAAGTGCTTGAGGTATTTAAATACGAGAAAAAAAATCACAATAACGGTATTTTACTGTATCTTACTGCATATGGGGTTTATATCTCTCAGTTAATTCGATACACAAGAGCATGTTCTACGCATGTACAATTTCTAAAACGAGGTAAATTATTGACAAACATGTTGATGAAACAAGAATATCAGCAATTTTTTAAAGTCATCATTTCGTACGTTCTATATTCAATACAATAACCTTATCAACAAATGCAGTCTATCATTGAGTCTAATGCTGACTGACGTTTTTCATACTAATTGTTAGGGCATTATTTACATTGAATTGATGACGGATTTTCCATTATTTCCCGACCATGACAAGGAGAACCCGGCGGGCGTGACAAGTCGACAGGGGATGCTCACTCCTCCATGGCACCCTTTCCCACCTCTGATGTTTAAGAATTCCGTGTTTGCTTTGCTCCTATTTTGTTTTGTTTTATGGACTTTTGATATTGAATACTTTTCGTTATCTCCATATAATTCATCCAAGTTACAAAAACCGAATAAGGTAAAGCCATCATCAAAATGTTTCATGTTGTAGCTGATTAGAAGGAAAGATAAAAAAGCTGCTTTTTGTGTATATTTTGTAAAAATGAAGGGAAAAGGTTGCAAAAAGTCAAACTGTTCTTATCCAGGTATATTTCTAATGCGTAGTTATCAACAGAAAACGGAATTCTATCTTTCACGAACTTATAAACAAGCAGGTGTAAAGACATTAGAACTACGGTCTTCTTTATCAGATTGAAAGTAAACTGGACTAGATTTATCCCAGTCACATTCGTTTAAACCTCTGACCAATATCAAATTGGAATAGAAGTATTTTTGAATAAGATACTCACACCCTCAGAAGATTTTGATCTATACGAGCAAATTTTCACCTTTAACTGTACTTTCATATCACAGATATTCATTCATTATACAAATACTACAAAGGGTAAAATATAGCATACTTTCCTTAAACTTTTTTTCTGTAGGTGTTTGTACGTACAGGCAAAGTGTGATAACGTGAGATTGGAGCCAATGCACAGCGGGCCTTGTACGGAGGCGGACAAGAAACCCCGCGTTGACAATATGACGACGGACGGTCCAGCGGTTGTCTCAGCTTCAGACAACTTCACCATCACCCCAGAATTCTGTGCCGACACCCGACCCTGTCCCATCAACCTCAATCCAATATGTGGAAACAACTATATATTTTACGTGAACTTGTAAGTAAAAATCAGTGTATATGGAACGGTCCAACGGTTGGATTACACTCTGCCATATATCATTGTTGATAGAACAGGGGGATTGGGGTTTGTTTCCTCATTGGATTCGTAGCATTTTCTATTCACGAGGCCTCAAAAACTTTGAAACTTTGATTTACTAATTGTAACAGCTCTGAAACTTTGATTTACGAGTAAAAACTTTGAAACTTTGATTAAGGCCTACTATAGTAAAAGCAGAAAAACTTTGGTTTTCTATATATACATGTAGTATTAACTTCGATGAACTATTGTAAACTACAATGTATATGCTTAACTTTAATTTCTCTGTTAGGGTTAAAATAAACTTTATAAAAGCCCAAACACATCAAGCTATCAAACACTTAGTAAACAGTTAACCACGCAGTCAATGTTTTTTTTCTTTTTGTAAAAAGTTAAGACTTTTTGTATACGTATGTTTTATATTTGATTCGAATAGGTGACTTCTTTACATATGTTTTATATCTGATTCGCATAGATGACTTCTTTTACAAAAGACGTATTTCAAAAATTTCAGATGCGACTTCAACAAAGCTAAGTGCAAAGACTCCAGTCTACAGAGGATACAGCTGAGTGACTGTAAGGACCCCAGCACCTTACCGCCCTTCTTCAACAAATACAGGAATGTGCGCAAGCGCAAGCAAAGAAAGGGCAACAGGAAATTATAAACTGGAAAACTCATTTAAAAACATCGTTGATTTGATAAAAAAATCAAGTAAAAATTAAATGAAAGTATTATTTAAGATAAGGAATATTGTCACAATTTGTATGTTTTGTGAACCACCCCGAGGAAAACAATAAATATATATGATTAAGACATTAAACATTTAATCGCAGGTTATCTATTTATATGCAATAACTTTTTCGCCGCAAGATATGTGAAATCACAGTGGCGTAAAGTAGAAATAATTTGATTGTACAGCTTGGAAATACAGATTATTTTATGACTTATAGAAAATCATGCATAGCTCTCCTTGCAAGAAGTGTTTTGTTTGTTTTAAAAATAAAAATTCTTACTTCTTTTCATGTCAGCTTTATCATAAAAGGTTGAAAACATAGCATCATTCATTCAATTCTGTTTTCGTCAAAATTTTAGAAAAAGCAATGGAAATGAAAATTTACAGATACAAACTGCATATATGCCCATGTGAAGTCATGAATTATACAAATACAACAAAAGACATATGTACTTTAAAATACAGAGCAACTAACACACCCTTCAGAGAGATACACAGATTTCCAAGATATTTCGTTGAAAGGCATGAAAATACAGAACATCTTTGAGAAGATATGGGGAGGTTGATATCGATGCGTACGCTGCAATCTTAATGTAAGGAAAAGTACTAGTAATTCCCGACCTGATGAAATGAGGAGATAATTTACAGTATTCAAGCACAAAGTTCATTCACACAACATATATCAGGAGCAGAGCACAAACACTGACCTCTAAAACATGAGAGGTGGGATCAGGTGCCATGGAGGAGTAAGCATCCCCTGCCGACTTGTCACGCTCGGCCTGTGCTCTTTGTCATGGTCGGACAAACAGAAAAATCCGTAGCCAATTCAATGAGTAAAAGGAACATTGTATTGTATTGTATTGTATTGTATCAAATCGTATTATGAATATCGTAAAATATGGATCGTCTTTAATCTAGAATGACCGTGTGTATATTTAGTTATCTCCCTACGAAGGTCACGCGGTCCCGATACTTACAGATCATGTTTGACGTCAAAGACTATGTCAATTATTATTCCATTATTGTGGTTTTATTTCAATATGTTTATCAATCATTTTATTAGGATTGTTTTCTTTTTCCAAGGTAAGGTTCAACTGGTTTTAAACATGATAGTGGGCGAAAATTTCAATTTCGAAAAAGAGACAAGATTGGTCAAGTCATGAATAAGTATGTGAATGTTATCACTTATACCTAAGCATTTAAAGTCCATGTTTAAGAGAAAGTCACGGATAACTAGTTGCTGTCATAAGACAATTGTTTTTAAATAGAAAAACCAAAGTAGACATTTTGGGCCCTATACTGTTTTCATTAACCCTTTATCTCTAATTACGTTTTAATCCTGGTGCTTCTGTTCGTCTGTCACACATTGTTCTTTCTGTAATCGATCCTCTAACACTCTTTAAAGAAGTAAGCAATTAAGTCATCTTTAGAAATTTGGGTGTCCTGTAGATATGTAATAAGGTTTCAGAGATTTACTTTCACCCCAAGGGTCAAATGGGAGTTGAAAAACGACCTTTACATTTATATATGCATAAAAAAACCTTGGTACCAAAACTCATCTTTTAAAATTTTACGCTGTAGCCAAATTATCTTTTGCAAGATGATTGTTGGTCCTCTAAAGGTGCGTAATTTTCATTTTCAACCTGGGGGCGATATGGGTCCAAACACCTCAATTGGTATTTTACAAGAAAATGTTTCTCAGAACGACGCATACATTTTGTTCAGTACTACTTACGGTGTATCCATTTCGTTTTGTGCAGCACAGTGTAGCCATTTCATCTTTAGTAAAATGATTGGAGATAACCTGTCGAACAATAAGAGTTTGGAATTTTCACCTTTATTAGAGTCCTAATAATATTGAAAATGACGTTTTCAGGTTTCAATCTGAACATGATTTTTTCTGTGTTTTTTTTACTTCCTCTTTTATTCTTGAAAAACTTTTATAAAAATCTATGCAAATCAGGAGCAGAGCACATACAGATCTCTAAACACTTCAGAGATGGGATCAGATACAATGAAACAGATGTGTCAGACTTCCGTGGTATCTTTTATTTCAAGCTCTTCGGGAACAAGGTGAACAAATGTAGGAGTTGATGGCCACACCAATAGTTTTATTCTTCTCATATACTGAGTATTAGGTTTATAATTAAATAAATCATGCTTCATACATGTATGAATATAAAAATAGGTCTGATAATAAGGGGATGCAATTGGTACCCATTGGAATATCGACAGTTTATCGAAAGACATGATCTCAAAAACTACATAGATATTGTCAATCTCAAACTCAGGTAATTTTTTTATTTGCTAGTACGTATATGTAATCTTCATATCTAGAGTACTTGTGTGTAAATGAGAATGTTTACCAAAATAATTTTGCAAATGACCAATCACATAAAAGTAAATTTACCAGTTCTATTGTTATTGGAGAAAAAATTAAAAAGGTTATGGACTTTAATTTATCGTGGGGAATAGTTGTATTAATCACAAGCTTTGATTTTAGACCAGTGAATTTATTATATTTGAAAAACTAATATAAGAAGCCCATGGTCGTACGCATATTCTCAAGAGGCATATGTGCAGTTTGTGTCAATGTTTGTTTTGTTTTTATTTTTTTGCTACAAGAGAGCAAGTGTATTTTTAAGATGTAAACTCTTATGCGCTGGTATCAATGTCTTATGACAGCTTCTAATTTTTCTAATATTTTAGATATAAACTCGTCCTTCGCCATTTCCTGAATCATGTTAATTCGTACCTCGTGTCACAAAAATATAATTATCTATATATAGCGAATATTAAACACATTAAAAAAGTTATCATTATTGTTGATTACAGTGATGAATGGTCAGGGACTCCCGGTCACGTGGGAGGAGTTATCCTCGCTGTGTACCCAGGTCCTGATGCTGAGCTGTGACGACGGATACGTGGCTGACGGTGACGAGAGACTCTGTGGAACTGATGGTGTAACTTATAAAAATTTGTATGTGCAATTCACTGAACATAATAAATTCCTATCTTATAGAATATCAAGCATAAAAAGGAAATGGTGCACAAGACGATGACAATGCACTGATCCGATACAAGCATATATCTCAATATTTAAAGTTAATATTTCCTTTTCAAAAAGTCTCTTGTCATATATATTAACATATTTAATTCATATTCATTTAAGTTAGAAAAGGGTTTATCAGAGCCATTTAAAATGAATGGGTCTCGGAGTCTGATTTCATTCAATATGAAAATTAAGGTCCCTAGTTCAAATCAGAAATGAGACTTTTTTAACCATTAAAATATCTTATAAACATAACAGAAAAATAATTTATGAAATGTATAGAGATAACGAACAGTATTCAAGCACAAAGGTCCATTAAACAATACAAAAATTGGAGCAAAGAAAACATCGGCCTCCAAAACATGAGGTGGGGTCAGGTAACATTGAGGAGTGAGCATCCCCTATGCCGACCGGTCACATCCGCCGTGTGCTCCTTGTCATGATCGGGGAATAACGGAAAAATCCATCGACAATTCAGTGTGTATATGATGGCCTAACAATAAGTATGAAAATCTTAAGTCGGCACTTGACATTGATAAATTCTATCGACCATAGAACTTACGAAACAATGGCTTTCAAAGAGACTGCTGATTGTTTCATCAACTTTTTTGTCAATAACTTATCTCGTTTTAAAAACTGTTCGTGCGTGGAGCACGCTCTTACGTATCGAATCAACTGAGAGATATAAAATCCCGTATGCAGGTAATAAATGTATGTTGGATTTGCTGCATAATTAAGGGAAGTCGATGATTAATTGAATAGTTAGAGTAATATCGTTTGTCACAAAGCTTGATTGTTAGATTACCATTAACTTCTTTTCAAGTAAAATATCTAACTTACAGTATGAAGCAGATGTGTCAGACTCTGTGGTATCTTTTATTTCAAGCTCACCGGCCGGATATATTGTATCGTCATATTAAGAATGAAATAACCATTGATAACTGACAATACGTCGTCGATATATCTAAATGTCGAGTTGAAGGCCAAAGCAAGCAATCTTTTACTTCTTTTCACGTATAGGGAAATTCTGCTTCATATGAATACAAAAATATGTCTGCTAATAACGGGGTGCAATTGGTATCCATATTCCAATAGACTGTTGCAACTGGAAAACCTGGTCTCCAAAAATCACACATATATTGTCAATCAGAAACTCGAGCAACTTTTTAATATTAATTTCAGAGTACTTGTGTGTACAATCAGAATATTTTTAATAGAATAATTTTGCAAATGACCAATGAAAAGGTGAATAAATTTAAGAGTTCCATTTTTATTGAAAAAGCAGCTGTCAGTGATATCATAAAGCCTGGACCTTAGTTTATCGTTGGGAATGGTTGTATATAGATTTGAAAAATCGTGTAAGTTTTAATGCTCTTGTTTTGGAATCAATGTAGATACATGTATGGTGTTTCAAATTCATTCTGGTTGTTAGTTATAAAATTAAAAGATGAGAGGAGCCAATCAAAACTGTTAAAAATTTATACTGCCATAGCCCAACCATTTAAAATAAAAATCTAAAATTAAGAACTATTACAATTGAAATATATTTTCTCTCGAAGTAGGGAAAGTCCTTTTCTTTTTATAGTTGAATACATTCATTTTTTTCAATTTATATAACTGCACACATAAAAATCGCAGACTGTCGTACATGATAATGTATTTTTACAGTTGTTTCTATGCCCAGGGCCGGTGTCGAAAGCCAGATATCACAGTGGCTCACTTTGGGGTCTGTCTGAATTCTACCACAATGGATATCAACCCCATACCATCTACCCAGCCCCCGCAAACCACAACCTTGGACTTCATCATTCAAGTATTTTGTACCCATGCCACTATAGATTCCTGTCCCCTGGATTTAGACCCATTATGTGGAACAGATGGAAACTTTTACAGAAACGAGTATGTAACATTATGTATTTCTTTCTGTTTTAGTCAGAATCTTCTATACGCTAACTGTTTTAGAATGCATTTTTTTTGGGTAAAATATGTCCTTTTCATACAAAACAAAGGTAGAACAATCCTCTAGTTACTAGTAATTGGCTAAAATAAAATTCCATCTATGTGAGTAGAGAGTACGATTAACTTCACCCAAGTAACACTGCCGTTGTTCTTTCCTTTCAGTTGTTTCTTCGCCATTGCTAAATGCAAAGACACTTCATTACAGAGTCAAGTGTTGGAGAAATGTAGCACTGATCAACTTTCTAGTAATACAACAATGACAAGTGGTTTAGTCGTAATACGGAGGAAGAAATGAATCACCAATTTTTTAAAAACTTCTATTTATTTAATCACTGTAGCCCCGCTTCACTGTTGGTATGATGTACAAGTATGGCAGAAATGTTCATTTTGTAAACACCTGTGTCTCAATAAAACTGTTTCCGAAATCTTTAATAGACTTTAACCAATACTGCGAATTTCGATGAGTTGTACTACTTGTACTACTTATTTGAGTTCTGAATAGTCTTGCAGAAAAAAAAACTGTACTGGGCATTTACATATGTACATTTACAAAATGATTAGTGATGTTTTACAAATCCAATCTTGCTCAAACCAGAATATTAAAATTGCTTGAGTTGACCCTCCAACAAAACATATAAAAACTAGCAATTTTTTTTTTTTTTTTTTTTTAAGAAAATATTGTCAAATTTTGTTTTGCAAAGCAAGTTGAAATGCTTGCACTTGAAATACAAGTGTAATTTAGATTGCTCTTAGAGAATTGTTTTTTATATGTTAACAGCTACAGGGACGAATCCGTTTGGAATCCTAAACTTATGGCCAAGAGTAAAGTTTGGAAAAAAATTGAAAAATCGGATGTCTAAATAAAGGACAGATATTTAAACAATGAAATGCTTTCTTTGGTTGTAAGTTTGGGGATTAATGTAAAAGTTGCAGCTGTTCCTGAAAAAAAAGCACAACCTACATATGTGGGTCATGTCAAGTTTTTGTCTGCATTAGCTGTAACGTTTTAATTCCCTTACTAACAAAGAAAGACATTTTATTTTTTATATTATATTCATATCTGTACACATTTATCATTTTAAGTAAGAATAAATAGATGAGATATTGTTTTAATGATATGTACCTCAATATGTATCTCATAATGGAACAGCTACTGCTCAAGAAATCTGTAGAATTCATACCAGGGTATATGCTTTTGCTGTTCACCATTGTTAAACAGAAATGGTTTTCTGAAGAGATAAAGGAGTTGTTTGGTGGTTGTAAATATATTGGCATTGAAAAATATGTCTCGTCACAAAGGAATGCATATCAGAAATATCAAAGCACTAACATCCACCAATCCAAAGCTACCAGCAAGGTAAAAGTTTTTGCATATTAATAACAAGAGACCCACGGGCCTTATGGGTCACCTGAGTATCATGTAACAACTTTCAAACAATGAAATTTGGTTTGTGTTTTAAACCAGAGGCCATAAAATTCACAATTCTGAAAGAGTCACCATTGCTTATCATAATTATACACTAAGCATGCTTACTCTAGTTACTTAATACCCAGAGGTAGATCAGAGTAACAAAGAAAAAATGCATTTCCACTTTGTAACCAGTTGTCCAAGACCCAACAGGAAGCACAAATATCAAAATTGTGGAAATTTTATCATAAATTTTATTTCATCATAAATGATTTATTAATACCAAAGAGCAGATTTGAAAACATTAATTTATTTTCAGACTATGTAATACCCCCACCCCCACTCCGATAACCCTTACCAAGGGGGCATGAAATTAACCATTTTGCTAATATATATACTTAGATGCACCTATTTTCTAATTTAATTTCATCATCTGATTGGTTAATATATATAACTTGCCTACGTCACAATGAGTTACGTCAATATTACTCCGCTTGACGTTAACTTTTGAAATATGCGATATTTGAATACCATTGAAATTAAATTATAAGGAATGAAGCTTATTTCAGGATATAACATAACTTGGGGCAGTTTACGCTTTTTTAAGATAAAATATTTTCAAAGAAATTCATGCATTTTCACTATATAATCAATAGACCCCCCCCCCCAACACCAGAACACCTGACCCAGGGGCCATGAAATTGACAATTTTGGAAGGGACATCCTTCCTAATCATTACTATGTTCATGGTTCATTGGTTTAATACCCAGAAGCAGTGAAGAAAATTTTCAAAGAATCAATGTATTTTCACTATTTAATCAAAAGAGCCCCACCCTAACACCAGAACCCTTGGCCCAAAGGCCATAAAATTCACAATTTTGGAAGAAGCACTCTTACTCATCACAACTATGTACTTAATTATTTTGTTTAATACCCAGTAGCAGAGGAGAAGATTTTCAAGGAATAAATGCATTTTTACTATATAATCAATAGAGCCCCGCCCTAACACCAGAACTCCTGACCCTGGGGTCATCAAATTCACAATTTTGGTAGAGGCACTCTTGCTCATCATGACTATGTACTTAGTTAGTTTATTTAATACTCAGGAGCAGAGAAGATTTTCGAAGAAATAATGCATTTTCACTATATAATCAATAGAGCCCCGCCCTAACATCAGAACCTCTGACCCTGGGGCCATAAAATTCACAATTTTTGAAGAGGCACTCTTGCTCATCATAACTATTTACTTAGTTGGTTTATTTAATACACAAAAGCAGAGAAGAAGATTTTCTAAGAATTAATGCATTTTCACTATATAATCAAAAGAGCCCCACCCAAACACCAGAACCCCTGACCCAGGGGCCATGAAATTCACAAGTTTTGAAGAAACATTATTCCCTGTCACAACAATATAGTTAGTTTGTTTAATACAAAGGAACGGAGAAAATTTTCAAAGAAATAATGAACTTTTACTACATGATCTATATAGACCCACCCCAACAACAGAACCCCTGACCCTGGGGCCATGAATTTCACAATTTTGGTAGAAGACTCAATGCTGATTACAATCATGTCAACAGTTTGACTGCTTGATGTCCATGAGTAAAAAAGAAAATTTTTAAAGATTGCACTAATTTTAGTGGTTTTGGCCCCACCCCTCTGACCCCAGGGGGCAGGGACCATGAAATTCATAATTTTTGTTCCCCTTCACCCATAGATGCTATATACCAAATTTGGTTGAAATTGGCTCAGTGGTTCCAGAGAAGAAGTTAAAAATGTTCAAAAATTTACGACCGACGAACGACGTATGACGGCGGACGAAAACGAATAGCAATAGGTCACCTGATTTTACTCAGGTGACCTAAAAAGACGGAGGAACCAAAAACTATATGCCCCCAATTTTCGATTAAAGGGACATGGACACAGTTTCAATTGAGTTTTATAAAATAATGCTTACAATTCCTAATTAAGGAATCATCTAATGATCAGCAGAAACATCATTTATCAACAAACGAGATTCAGAACTTAGAGTTCTTCAAAATGTAACCAGGGCTTGTGTCTCGTTTTTGTTTACATATAGAAAATATCTTATTTATAACAAAATGAAATTCAGCAAATCACTACAAACTGTCTAATTATATTTAGAATTAACTTCTTTATTGAAATTATCTGCTTTAATCGAACATATATTAGTATATATATATGTGATATCTCTTTGAAAGGTAGCGGAGTTGATTTCTTGATAATTCTACCGGAATGTAAATTAGGCAGATCGATAGGTCAGGCGCTATGGAGGCCTAATATGCATGCAAATCTCGTGCGCATCTGTCTCTGTGTCTGACGCTGAGGACGCCAAATACGCATGTAAATCTCGTGCGTCTGCCTTTGTGTTTGACGTCATTGGGCGAGAACTATTGAAATTGGCAAGGGAGTCCTCGTGTAATTAAAATCAATGTCTACATGTTTAAAATCTAAATCTATAATTTTATTTCACAATGAAATGGAAATATAAGGAATCACAGTCTAGTTAGTATAGTATGCCAGGGACATCAACCATAGTGGGAAACGTGGGATAATTTATGCAGAACGGACTTTGCCCGTTATGCAAATTTTCCCATGTCGTCCACTATCGTTGATGCCCTGGCATACTATACTAACTAGACAGTGATTCCTTAAATTAATCTATGTAAACAAAACATGACACGGACCCTGTTTACATAACAAAGGTTTGGAACTCTAAATCTGTCTTGTATCTCAACAACTAAAGTTCAAATTTTTAATTATCATTAGAAAGAACTTTAAACATTTGTAAAAATGATAAAATAAATTTGAAATTTTTTAGCTGAAACTGTGTCTATGCCCCTTTAAGGAAGGTCCATACTTTTATGGATCCGATTGTAATTTTACACACCAATACAAAATTCTTATAATCACTTGTCAAAAAAAATAAAGTCTTTTTTGATGATTGATGATAATATAGCAAGTATATATTTGTTTACTAGTGTTATTGTGCATACAAAGCATTTGTTATGGAAATTAACACTTTGTACTCTGTTCATAGGATCTATATGTCAATAAGTACAAAAAAAGACGCATCATTCTTAATTGCCTTTATAGATCTAAAACTTTTTAATTTTTTATACAAACTAACAAGAGATCTTTTTTCATTTATTTTAAGTATGTATCTCTTTTGTAAATTTTCCTTTTTTTGAATTATGCAAAGAATGATTGAAAAACTTGATATTCCCAAATAGGGGGTATACGTGTTCAAAAGGCTGTTTTGTTAAATTTTTCTGGTCAACAATAATAAAATATATGTTTCTGTGAACCTTAGATACAATTCTTTATAGTTTTAAAGAAAAAATGCACATATACAACTTAGATTTTGAGATTTTTCAAAATAACGAGATTTTGAGATTTTTTTCTGATAAACGTAGACAGATTCAACATCAATTTTTCAACGTTTTTCAGAGAAAATTTCAAATATTTTCCTAGAATATTAATTATTTTTTATTTTCACAAGATTTAACATGAATTTGATGTAGGAAGAGCTGGTACAGGTGGGACATTGACTTCAAGGCGACGCGTACGAATGCCTATTGAATGGTTGACTTTTGTGAATGTAAGTATGTGTAGAGTGTGTATGTATGTGTTGTTTTTGAGCTTTAGTGCACATTCTCTAATGTTTTGTGTAATAAGAATGAAAAACTTTTATGACATTTGATGTGACAACTAAAATGACCAACAAAGTAGAAATGTTAGGTATATTGAGTATGAAAGTAAGAGGTTTCTCTTCTAACAGCCAAAATAGCGAAATAAAATATATCAGACTTCTTTATGTTCACTTTTGGCTGTTCAATTTTAAGACGTAGGTACTCTTAGATATGTATGAAAATTAACCTGCAAAGATGTCTTTTTTATGGGTGTTTTAGTTAGTTAATGAGTTATTTTTAAGAGATCTGAATAAAAAAATTATTACTTTGACAGAAATTTTTGTAAGTACAGACCAACCTTATAAAAATAAAAGCTATTACCCCCTCCCAGTTATCCACACCTCACTAATAGATAATTTGTCCAAAAAAAAAATTCACTATAATAATATGCCTGACAGTTTTATTTTTAGTTCACTGAAAGCACAAAATACAGTTTATCTGTTGGACTTGGCAACACGTTCCAGTTCATCCTTCTTCTTAATAGCGTGGGAGTTTGATGAACCCTGAAAATTAAACAATAAAAAATTAATACATAGCAGGAAACCTGAATTACTGAAAAGTCAACAATCCTTTAACATAACACTATATCTAAAATTTTCAAATATTTTTTCATCAGAACTAATTTTTCCTTGAAGATATTTATACCAAATGGAAAACCTAATATCCATTTATATCTAAATTTTCCACAAATACAATTCTTAACCTCCAACCTGCACTTCTCTAGGAGACACTGGGAGATATATATATGTATACCAGTAAACACATGCGTACCTTAGCAGCATTGATCAGTTCATCAGCCAGGCACTCAGCAATGGTCTTGATGTTCCTGAACGAGGCCTCGCGAGCCCCGGTACACAGAAGCCAGATGGCCTGGTTCACACGTCGGAGTGGTGACACATCCACGGCCTGACGTCGGACAGTACCAGCACGACCAATACGTGTGGAGTCTTCACGAGGACCGCTGTTAATGATGGCATTCACCAACACTTGCAGGGGGTTCTGAAATAATTCAATACACATGTAACTTATTTAAACTTAAAAAAAAAAACAACTCTAGGCTGTGCCTTGTAACTCAAAGTGTACACTTTATTTTCTGCCATGGAATGAATGTCTTGTGGTTAAATATTTGATGTGTGCTTTAAAGCTTCCTCATCTTTGCAAACATTGCAATTCAAAATATTACAAAAGACTCCTGCTATTAATTCAGGTTTGGTATTCCCTTAATTAACAGTCTTCTTCCTCAAAACTCACCAGCCTACTGTCCAAGGTATTAGTTTAATCTGGACATGGCTAGTAAAAATTGTGTCAGAAATAGCCAGCCAGTGAGCGAAAAATTCGCCAGTAGCTAATTTGAAACATCAATGACCACACATTCTAGTTTAGTTTAAACCCTGTTATCTACAAACCAAAAAGTCTAAAGAAATAAACCATGCTTTCTGTATACTAGTATCCTAAAGCAGAAATAAAAATCAAAATTTGAAATAACCTAAATGTTCATACCAATTTTCATACCAGTTCAAGACAAGAGTCTGTAACTAATGGTAATGTGAAATGCCCTTTGCACCATCAGAGATCAGATATGAACAAGTTACACTGGATTTCAAATGAGCCAAAAATGTAAAAAGAAGAAAGAGTATCTATTTCCTTGATTAAGTTTCATAATCTTGACTTTATGCTTCTCTAATTCAGGCATTTCCTACAACCATTTCTTGCAAATTAAGCTGTTTTTAAACAAGACAATGAAGATTTACCTCTCCTGTGAGTAAGTGGATGATTTCGAAGGCGTGTTTGACAATACGAGCTGTCAATAGTTTCTTTCCATTGTTCCTTCCATGCATCATGAGTGAACATGTCAGGCGTTCAACAATTGGGCACTGAGATTTTCTGAATCTCTTAACTTGGTATCGTCCCGCAGAGTGGGGCAAATATTTCGCATACTTCTCTTTGACAGCAATATAATCCTAAAAACAAAAGAGTAAAATCAAAAGCTTCAGGATTATCAGATCTTATGCAATGTGTCATGGCATCAGAAAGGTAAGTTAGCTCAAGAAACCCAAAATTACTTATGTTACTTGTGAATATAAATCTACCATGTGCTCTACATATATTTTAAGAATAACTCTAATTCATGGCCAAATTATTGTGGTATGATGTGGTTTGGGTCAGTTTATGCTTTATAATCAGCTAAGCGGATTATTAAACAGCATAAACTGACCCCAACCAGGTTTTACTCAAACAATTAGGAGATTTCAGAAATATTTTTTATTTATACAAAATTTTAATCACACAAAGTGAATGGGATTGGGCAGCAGGCAAAGCCTGCCCTCTCCCAAAGAATTTGTGTTTCTTTTTGGATATTAACCAACCAGGGGCTAGAATACAAACAAAATTAAATTATTCTTGTATATAATCATATCAATATTCAGTTGCAGATGAATTGCATATCTAATTTAGATAATTTGTGCATAAAGCAAAGTCTTAAATTTATTCACTTCTTTTATTTTATTGAATAAATTTCTGATAAATAATTTACTTTTCACTCATGTTTTTCAAGATACGTGGGGAACAAAACATGCATGATTTGTGCTCTCTAGTACTACTCTAGAGCTCACAGTTAGGCCCAAGACTGAACTTGTTAACCACTACTCTACTATGTCTAAGATGAGTGTCAGTGAGATTTTAACAATTGAATTTGTTGAAGCAGGTGCTCTACTAGCTCAGTTGGTAGAGCCAGAGCTGCCAACATTCTGAAATGAAAAATAGTAAGGCGGGGTCCAAGGACCGCCTAAGCCCCCTGCCGCTATTTTAAAGCCTCCATTAATTCATAATTTTAAGATTGTAAATATTTTCCCCCATATATTTCTTCCATGCATGTTTAAAATTGGTTACTCAAAGAGGGAAATTCATTACTTTGCCCTACAAGATGGCGACTAAGGGGAATAACTCCTAGGCAAAATATGTCACAGGAAAAGGGTCTATACGTATCTCGATATGTTAGCACGATACAATACGTATCTCGATATAATGATAAATTATAAAACTATTTTTAAAATTAGTATTTTATCTCATTTTTTGTCAAATCAACATGATAAATTATAAATCTAAACTATTCAAAAGAATTAGTATTTTATTTCATTTTTTTTTGTCTTGACATTAAATCAACAAATCAAATGTGCTTTGAAATTAATACTTGAAGTTCATCAATTTCATTGACTAAAACTTTACAAAAACAATAATGCATGTACATATTATTATTACCAAATTTCTATTAACAAGTTGTTTACAAAAAGTTGTGTAGTTTATCAAAGAACACTGACTAAATATTCATTGAAAAAACATCACATTTACATTATTGTTAATTGCTGAAAGTCCGCAGTCAAGTTGAGATTAACAGGGCTCTCACACCACTTGTTGGGACTGGGGCCGGGGCCATTCAAATTGGGAAAATTATCGTCATTTGGGAAAAGTTGGATGACCAACATTCATTTAAAAAATTCTCAAATTTTGCTTTTCTAGCATTTTGTCATCAATTTCCTCTAGTACTGAATAAACAGTTAAACAGAACAAACATGGTTACGTAGGCAATTCATGAAAGTACATTAGCTTTTTCATAACTATCTTTGAGTGTTGATATTACGGTTATATGTCTTTCTGAGTGACAGTCGCTAGTCACATAGTCCTGAATTTCCTCGATTACATGATCATCGTTGCTTACCAATGCAGCGCGAGACTGAACATGCTGAATCTTGGACATGTTTCTAGGTGCAGCTTACCAATGTTTAAATGAAATGTCTATATTTTTGAAAACTGAAAATGATGTTTTTTGTCGATTTTCATGACAAGATACTCTGCAATCATAGTTATACATTTCTGTAATAACACTAACCTGCTTCCCCGAACCAGTTTACGAATGCATTTGGCGCGAAGTAATTAATACAGTCTTACATAGAACTAGTTTGTTTCACTTTCATTTACAATTGTTTTGGGTTTATTTTGCAATCAAGTTTCATGGAATTTTATTTTTTAATTAATATTTTGCAGCTATGGAAATTGGGAAATTTACACCTTTCTTTTGGGAAAAAAGGTACCTTTTTTGCATCGGGAACGGGGCCGAATATCGGCCCCAGATTTAGAGAATCAAGAGCCCTGGATTACAAAAAAAAGTATGCGATGGTCTAACAATTAATAATATCAAATGTTCTGGAAACAATATTTTCTGTGTATAGCACGCTTTACATGAACTTTTCTTGTCCAATCTTCCGAGGTTGCCTAAGAGTGAGAACGGTTTATCCCTAATCAACGACTTATTAGGTCTAGAGTGTGTTTTCAATATCATCAGCATCTCTGCGCTTTGTACAAGCTGCCATTTTCTAAGGACAGGTACTTTCATTTTCAATTTTTTGATAGGTCGTTCGTGTATCGTTTCGTACCGATATTTCAATGCTTTTATCGTAAACTGTATCTTAGAGGAAAATATCGGTATGTATCGGTGTATCGGTATATCGTCTCACCCCTAGTTTCCATTTTGTTAACTTTAAAACATTCACATGAATGCGATTGGCCATCTGAAACCGAAACGACGATACGAACAGTTGTTGTAAGGATCATGAATTACATTTAATTATAGCGAGCGCAGCGAGCTCAATAGACTAACGTGTAAGAACAGAGGAAATTCAGATTGAAATCTGTACATACGTCAGCCAAATTTCTCTGTGCAACATTCCCAGAATTCCTGCACTACCCAATGTCCTTTGCGCGAATAAATCAAAAATAGTTAAAAAAAAATAAAGGAACATTGTTTCTTACCGAAATCTTAACGAAATGATTTTGCCTTACCTTATTAAAAAAAAATACCCCCGTGCCACAACACCGGCCTTCACCTTGCCCTTCGGAAATGATACAAAAGACGTCACCGGAAACTTACGAATTTTGACGATATGCTAAATTAAGTCATGTCGGTTGCTTCCGTGAAATAGATAAATAAATAAACAATAACGTAAAGCATAAAAAGCTTTCAGTTTGTAGGAATCTTTCAAAGAAACTAAAAATAACTTTGCAATGTTTTTTGACCTAATTTGTGCTAGGTCTATAGTTTAAACCAGACGCTCAAAGCCTTCGTGTGACGTCACAGCTAGTCGATGCCGTGCGACTTGATGTTTGAAGTGGCTGATCAATTTTTCAAGTGTTTTGATGGTACAACTGCGCTCGCCTCAACGGTCACACCGTAAAACATATTAATAGTAGAAACTGTAGACGGCCTGTTATGAAAATTCCGGTATTATAAACTTTGATTGAGAAAAACCAAAATCAGAAAAATCTAGAGAGCAATCATAAGACGTATTTTGGACGCTTATTTTGTAAGACTTATGCCAAAATCATAAGGGTTGGCAGCTCTGTAGAGCACCTGACTAGAGATTCAAGGGACCCAGGTTTAAATCCTGATCTAGTCTGCAAATTTTTCTCCTCTCCTGTTACATTTGGTGCTATGCTATGCAAACTTGAGAGGCCTTCCAGGGATGAGCCTAGGTTGGTGTCTTTATGGGGGAAAAACCTTTAAGGAGGGAGGAATGTGGTGGTCAGTTGGCTTCATTGCCAGTCAGATAGCTCAGTTGGTAGAGCACCTGAATGGAGATTCTGGGGGCCCTGGTTCAAATCCCGATCTGCTCCCTTGCATTTTAATCCTCTCTCATTACATCAACAAAGATATTGTTTCGGATCAGAGTATAACACTTATACTTACTGTTAAACTGATGTCACTGACTTGGACATCATCTGATGACCATTTACCAAAGAGTTTGATCTCTGGCAATTCCACTACTGGAGCAGGTTCATCCCAGTTTTCAGCCATTGCGCCTGAAATAAGGTAATTTTATTATCATTAAAACTTACAGTACATAGATACCCTTATGTATTTCAATTAAAATCTAGTTATCATCAATTCATGATGTAGTACAATAGAACAGTAGATATGTTTATTCGGCATTCAATATTCAGTATTTTCTGCTCAATTTCGGGAGGGGGGGATACACTATATAAATTGATATTTTCCTTGAATTCAGTAGAAATATCAAGAAGCATGTACACAGGAATCATGACTGGCAGTCAACTTTTCATTCTAAAATGACTATTGCTGAGCATCATTGTACGAAAGGGACATTTTAACACGGTTTATGTATTTACAAATGTTTGGCACTCATACCGTCAATGTGCCGGAAGTGAAAAGAAAGCACATGGGGTTTACATTTCCGGTAATGGCACTCGGCACACCTCGGCCGATTCGTACCTCATCTAACCTCGGCTGTATTACGTATTGCGCCATTAGACCGGACTACTTTCTAAACAATATGGCTGCGCCCATTAGAAAAAAACAAAAATGTTGACATAAAGGAAAGCTGACGAAAGCTTAAAAAATGGAGAAAACTCCTGTGAAGCCTGTGTTCCCTAGATGCTGTTTACTCTGTCGTGATGAGAAAAGGCGACTACATTGTTTAACGAAGCACAAATCATTAAAAGAAAATTATAGAGAATGTGTTGAACAGTTTCTAGGGCAAAGTTTAGATCCTAAATATCTGGAATATATGTACGTGTGCGAAATATGTTGTAATACATGTAAAACATACCATAAATTTAGGACTACTTGTTTAGAAAACTTGAACAGCTTTTATGATAGTCATAGCAGGGTCAAGAGAATGGCGAAAACTCCCCCTTCTGCTCTGAAGTCAATGAATTCAACAATACAGTCTGTGTGCAGTTCGGTGGAGAAGATAAGTTTAGGAAATGTGAGTGATAGGACTAGCAGTGATAGGACTTGCAGTGAAAAAGAACAGCGTTTATGCAAATCCCAGAGATCGCTTAATTTTCAGACAAATGATGCATCCTCTACTGTTGATGCTGCATCCTCTACTGTTAATACTGCATTCTCTACTGTTAATACTGCATCCTCTACTGTTAATGCTGCATGTACCACTTCAGACGTAGATCTATGTGACCACAGCTACAGTTTCTTGACTTCTAAAACTTGTGAAAAGACACATACTGTGGATTCAGATATTGATAGTAATACAGCCATTTCTAAATTTCTTCTTGGTAAAGAAGTAAATAAAGTGACTGAAGAGATAAATGAGACTTTGACAAGAATGGCTAGATCCAGTATACTAATTCAGAAGAGACCAGATATTTTGTCCGAGAAGCATTGGTTCCTAAGTGCATTTAACGAAATGGAACAACACTGTCCACAGCTTCTTGAAGTGCTTCTTGTCTCATTAGGTAAATATTGTTTGTATTTAATTATTTAATTTAGGTCTTTTGCCGCAATGGAATACCTAATTGTTCTTGTATTAATTTTTCGTAATTATTTCTTTTCCTTACCAGTTCTGTGCACATGATTTCTTAGGAACAGTGAACTCAATATGCAACTTTCAAGACTGTAACTCTCTTAAAACTACATCTTACATATTGTTTACTGTATTATATTTCTGTAAATAACAGGCGACAAAGTGTCTTCTGATTCTAAAGTGGCAACAGCTGCAACTATTTATGGTATGATTCTCCATAGCAGAAATGTGAGAGCTTGTGCTATTCAGAGGTTATATACTGCTCTTGCCATTCGTTTCCATGCAGATAACCAGGTATATATTTGTGTAGTTAAAAATTGTTCTCTGCATCAGTGCAAATACAAAACCCTGGACTTCCAATTGGTTCAAATGATGTGAAAAAGAAATTTCTATAAAAAAGAAAGCATCACAGATTTAACTGCTGAGTATCTTGGATTTAAACTGAATCAAAAGTATTAAACTTGGTATTGTACGTTAAATAAAGATAGTGAAAATTAAAAGGACTTACATGACATTTATACAAGTACATGCACAGTTGAACTCCAGTATATGGAATACATGTACCATCATTTCAAATACATGTACTATGGACATCTTGAAGTGATTTTAAAGTCCTAAACAGCCTTGATACCATACATTCATCTCAAAATCTCAATTATCTCTAAAGTTTTGTTCTATCCCTAGGACTATGGGATAGTAAGGATAGAATGACAGGGTACAACTCTTTTACATTTTTTTTTTTAAATGAAAAAAAGAGAGGATCTGTTTTCAAAAGATTACGAAAGAAATAGAATGTTGCCATTAAACACACACACAGAAAAAGAGAAAAAAAATGACATACTTATCTTTCATACATCCTTAAAATCTGTCAGGTTTTTTGATTTGCACTTGCTAAGTGTTTTAATGATTATTTATTTTAATTTAATTGTTTTTACTGACATTTCATTGAAAAAATTCTTGATATTAACCATTTTATTTGTTATACTAATTTCCTTTTTTAATTTTATGTTTTGTTTTTTGGAATTTTCAGATGGAAAGCTTTCATCCTTAGAGTAAGTATACATCAAGACTCGCTCAACATTCCATAATGAGTTTAAGCTAAGAAGGGAAAAAGTGTCCATTAGATTTTGATTGACAGTGAATATAGATACCAATATTAATGTGGATTCCATCTTCAACATAATTGGTAGATTTAAAAGTACATGTGTATTTTAATCAGCCTGAAATTTTAAATTTATTTTAAAGATAGTATTACCTCTGCATAGTGTTACTGTGTAGAAAAAATATATTAAATCATGTGTCATTTTATCCATAACTGATGGGAATAAAGTATTGGTATTAAGTAATATAATAATAATTAAAGAAAATATACATTTAGTGCATGGAAAAGATTGTAAGGGAAATTAAAACAACCTTTATGCATAACACTTTGTATCTGTATTTGTAGCTGTTGGAGAGATTGCACAAAGTTCACTTCACCTTGTCACATGAGACTAAGAGGAATTTGATGAAAGATTTCTCTGACTTTTCCGACTTTCAAATCATGGAAAAAGTGAGTCTTGGGAAGGATGGAAAAATTAACGGGGACAATTTGGACGTGTATTTAAGAACAAATGATATCAGAATGGACAACAAAAATAAAGATTGCCATTTCTTTGCCTCAGACTTCATATTTGACAGAATCGATACTAAACATTTAGATGACACTTGCAGTATAGGAGACATCAAAAGTGTTACTTGGAAAAACTTTGTTCCTTCGAATGATGAAGATACTTTGTACAAAGATTCATTAAAAGTTTTGCTGGGCAGGATAATGGTCCAGTATTTTCCGAAATTCGATTGGTTGAAATCTGTTCTCCCGGACCACATTCCTCATCCATTGGCTGACACAATGTCAGAAAGATCAGAGGTACATTGGCTGCCTGTAATGATGAAAAATGAGACCTGCTACTCAGACTGTGTCCACATCATGAAAGCATATGAAGCAATGATATTGCAGTGGTACACTAAAAGTGGACGAGGTGAGTCATATAATATTTATCTGACTGAAACTAAAGGATGTCAGACATTTTTGGTAATCAATAATCTGATCTATTAATTTGTAGCATGTGACCTAGAAAGGCTCAAGGTCCCAGTTGGTGGGGACCAGCTGACGCGTGTAAGATTGCAAGGTGCCAAGGCAATACAGGATGGTGCACTAACAGCAACAGATCGTTTAGAACATTTGGAGCCCATCATAGTCGAAATGTTCCATACACTGCAAGATCTATTAGAGGTAGGACTAAATTATAAAAAAAAAAGTTATCAGAAAAAATACTAAAGAACAATAGTAAATATTTGATACAATTGCAGATTTTCTTTTTTAAGTAAAACCATTTGATTATTTCTTAAATAAAAGCTAACTACACATAATACATGTATATCAATCTGACATACAGGGTTTCACTTTTCCCTTTAGAAACTATACAAGTGCTTCTACACATTAAGTGGTAGAGAAAAAGGCACACTGTACAGTTTGAAGTTGATTATTGAGCGAAGCAATGTCAATGGGAAAGTCAAAGGTCGCTTTGAGGTATGAAATTGATAATTCTTTACATTTTTGAATAATTTATACAATATCATTTCAGAAGTATGGGCAGGATCTGATTTTTTTTTATCATGATCTTAAACATATAGGTACCAATTAAGAAGGAATTCCAGAGAATATGCACTTATTGGAGTTCTAGCTGGCATAAGTGTAAGCCATAAATATTAGTTGGGTTTTTTTTTCATTTAAAAGACTGTTGAAATTTCAAACTTTTTTAGGCACATGAAGATTTTGTTCTAACGGTTGGGTGTGCCTACTTCCTTTCTTATATCATGCACAAGTTCAACATGAAGACCATGGATGATGATCCTGAACACCCTCTTTGTAAGAACAACATGAAAATGATGCATAACAAGCACAAGGACAGAATATTTCAGACAATTATGGGGGAAGTGATGGAGGATCTAGTATACGTTTTTCCCAAAGAGGTAGATAAATGTACTAGTAATTTTCCAAAAATGGAGACAATACATGTAGTCAGTGTACATAGTGTAGAAGTTTTACTTCTAAATCATCCTATTAAATAGGATGATTTTAATCTTTGTAAATTAAGTTATATATTCCATCACAATTGATACATTGTACTGGGGTATGTTATAAAATAGATATATGTTTATACTGTAGTTTGCATATATTGTAAAGTGTCATGCTCTTTTTAGGAGCCCTTGGTAAAGCTGAACATCAAAGTGAACGGTTCTTATTTTGTGGTAAACAGTTCAATTAATGGAGACAAGCTACAGTTCGAGTTGTACATTGGAAATGCTCGTTTTATTATCAATGTAGGAGTGATGGAGGCAAAGAGAGGAACATGTGTGATAATTCCAACTACCACAGGAAATTATATCGTAGAAATTTCTTCAGTTACGCAAGAAGATGATCTTTACAATTATGTTCATCAGTTTCTTCAATGGTACTTCTTGATAATTAGCATGAAAGATGCCATAAAGGAAGGTGACATTTACAGAAATAATGTGCATTTGAAATTTTGCATTCCGATTTTCTTTGGACACTCTTGCCTATCCAAATACATGGAGGAATGTATTGACTATATTTTGAAGACTGAAATTTTACTTTCGGAAAAAATGGCCATGAAAGTAAGAGCCAGTTCCTTTGTGAACCTGAAAGGTAAAAGGGGGTCAAACAAAGCAACAGATCTTCAAAAGGAAAATGAAGTGCTGGTGTTAAAAGATCTAATAAGGGGACTGGGTTCGAATAAAACCGAAAGGGCTATTGTGACGGTGTCAAAAGCAGCCCCTATTATTCAAGGCATTGTGGAAAATATTGATCGAATGTTGTGTGTGAAACCAAAGAAGACGCGTCATCAGAAGAAGTCGTTTGAGGGTGATGTCAAACAGCTCTTAACTGAAATACTGCCCCTAGAGTGGTGGAATCAAAATTCAAATCGTAAACTCGCACATTTTCCAAACATTAAATGTTCCCCATTTGACATTGAAAGACTACTCTTTATTTCCAAAGTTATGTCAACAGTGGGGAGGTTACAACGAGGAATTACTATTCCAGAGGACTTGGATGAAAGCAGTGATGAAGATGTAATATAATAACAAAAATTTTAAATATATTATGTAATATACATATGTATTATTTTAACTGTCATTTTGACTGTGTACTAGGTCATTCAAATACATTTATAATATAATAAACAAAGACACTTATCAAGTTACAATGTATGTTTATGGTATAGTTACCATTACATAGTAGAGGTCATGGATAATAAAGCATTGGAAACTATTGTAGTCTGCAGCAAATGAAAGGCCTTGTCAAATGTACAAACTAAATTTCCTAGCCTGAAAAAGCAGGACAAAACTCGACCCCCTGCAAATATCAACTGGCATTCAATTTTTATGCTTTACAGTTTGAACAGCAGTTTTCTCTATTACCAGAGAAAACAAAATTGTCAAATCCAAAGTATTGAACCAACATGAGTCTTAAACATTTTTGCTCTGTACAGTATCTCCTCATTTCCTCTGTCATACCCTTCCTGTTCTTAGCTATGTCATTATTATTGAAATACATAATGGCAACAGAAGGCTGTCCATTACGTCCGGCACGTCCGATTTCCTGCAGATATTTCTCTAAATTAGTTGGAGGTCTGCAGTGAATGACCCTTTCTACACTAGGTGCATTCAACCCCATGCCTAAAGCTACTGTGGCCAAAATTAACCTCAATTTTGGATTTGGTTTCATCAATTCTTGAATTATGAGATGCTTCATTGATTCGGGATAGTCCTTGTGAAATTGTCCAAAGATCCTATTTTGGGGAATTTTTTCGCCATCATAGGCACTATCCTGAAGATCATGTGTGAGAAATTGATAGAAGTATCCCATGGCTTCCAAATTCTCAACATACATGATCGTAACTGGGAAAGAAAGTTGTTCTTCCTTTAACTCGTCAGCAGTAGGCTGGATCAAATCATCATATTTTTCGAATTTCTTGATGTTTGGTAGTCGGTTATTTCTAAATAAATATTTGGTCTGTCCACATTTGCAGCAACAACTATTGGTGTTTTTTAATTCATTTGCTTCGTATGATTTTCAATGGCACTGGGAGTTGCTGTCGCTGTCAACAGTAAGTATATTGCATTCTCAAAAATGCATACCAGTTGTCCTAAGCTCAGAAATGCAGGGCGGAAATCTTCACCCCTTTAAAAAAAATATGGAACAAAACCAATAACAAGTAGAACGTGAAATATGGTTTAATACAGTGTACATAAAATATACTCAATTACCCTTTATAAATTAAAAACTAGGGCTACGTGGGGCCACTAGGCTATCTGCCCTCTTTGCACCAGCTTTTCCTTTGTACTGCCTAGGGAGGGAATCGAACCCTCGTACGTAGCCCACTTATTGACTTATAATCTTTTTGACAATATCATCTAAAATTAGATTCTAAATATAAATTATACTAATTTATAAGCATTGCTATGCTGTTGAAAATAACACATGAGAGAAGACATAAACATTGTTCATTGCCATATCTTACCATTCAGCAACCATATGTACTTCATCGACGACAACTGCTCCTATAATATCTTGGTACAGTCGTGATCTAAGCAGTCTTGAAAACTTTGTTTTCATGACAGCCTCAGGATGACAATAAATCAAGTTGAATTCCCCATTCAATAACTGTTCAAATGGTACATCAGACTCAAGATTGATAGTTTCTGAAACTGATGAATACATTTCATCTTCATCATTCAATCCATCCTCAAATGTTACACCATGTGTACCTTAAAACACAGTTAACAATCAGAAATAATTACAGTACTTGCCAAATTTTTTTTATGCAACTATTGCACTAGCCCGTAAATATATACATGCCCAGAATATTTATATGGAGTTATGATATTCTTGATATTTGTCTATATGTATTGTTAACTGTTTTTGTCTGTCTTCATGCATCGTGTGTTAACATTTGAACATTTTCAGCTTCTTCTTTGAAATCACTTATTGAATTTCAACCAAATTTGGTATACAGCATATATGGGTGCATGAAGGGGAACAGGTCAGGGGTACCAAGGCGGGTCTACTTATATACTAAAAATAAATTGATTGAAATTTGCTCCTTGGTCATTAATCAGACATTTTTTATAAGCAAAGTGCCTTTTCAAAAATTGTGTAATGTGTGGACCTGGGGTCAGGGGTTCATATGCGATATGGGCATTACTTATTATTGCTGAATACATTATTATAGTGAATATTAATGATTAGTCGAAAATAAATGCATTTTTTGTTCCCCTACCCTACCTATGAGTATTGAGTAACCAAACTAAGCAATTAGTAAGTGTATAGCTATGATTAGCAATGGCACCTCTTTCAAAATTGTGAATCCCTCCGAAATGATTTTGAAGGATATAAATGGATTTGCTCTGAAAATAACTTATAAATTAATCACCATCTAAAACAAAGCTTTTTGGGGCTGCGTAAGTATTTAAACCTAAAGTTCACTCTAAATAAAGACGAAAATTCAACGAATTTTATCAACATTTCTTCTCGCTTCAAATTTTATTGTTAAAACTGGTCCAAAGGACATTTATCATTTTAACGATGGAGCATTCTATTTAGCTCACTACCACTGCACAGACTGACAATATACTGTATTTGTTTTTGAACACTTCTACTCGGATTTTTCTGGATTATAGTTTTAAAATTTTTACAGAAAATATTAACTTCAAATCTTTGTATATGCACAGGAGTCGGCAGTTTTATCAATAAACCAGTGCACCTTTCAGAAAAATGTCCCATAAAATAGCTGAATCAAGCTATTCAGTAAATTATATCTGAATAGTTCAATAAAGGTACATTACTGTTAGCTTAATCAAGCTGTATACATATACATTAATCAAGAGATTGTGTTGGACCTGTTCACTTTGATTCAAGTGAGCATTAATCATGTTAATAACATATAAAATCACATACCAGAAATATTTAAGTAGCATGCTTTAATCCCTGCTTTCCTTAGACTCATAACTTGATCCACCATCAGGGAGTTCAACGGCGAAATCACTAATACACACATCGGATTTTCACGATTATGCTTATGTTGGGCGAACCAAGGTAGTAACTGGAAAATAATGCTTTTTCCATAGCCTGTCGGCAATATGGAGATACAATCTTTACCCTCGTATAACGCTCTCAACGTGTCTACCTGTTTATCTTTCAAAATAATGTTTTTCTCACGAAAAAGAGGACAGTTTTCTAAAGAAAATTGAACACAGTCCTCAAACGACGCCATTTTAATCACTACTTTTTAAAAGCGGCAGTTTGTCCGGTTAGGTAAACAGGCGACCGAATAGCAAATGTATCGGCGTAACTACATATCAATTTACCTCATACAGCCGAGGTTTGATGTAGTTCACGGAATCAGCCGAGGTTTGCCGAATGCCGGTAATGGTTCACCAATCGTAACTACTCGGCCATTTCCGTGAACGATAAATAACTATACGATAATAATTATTTCTCTTTCGGAAAATGGCCGAGTAGTTACGAATGAATGGTTCACCAAAGCCTAAACTTTAAAACCGTGTACGTATTATTGAATTCGGAATAAACAGTTAGACTAAGAGGGTTCATAGAAAAAAATACAAAAGCACTCATTCACATGGAAATTAAACGCATAATTTATAAGATATTTTTCACAATCTTTCATTCATCGTTTTTCATCTTAGCTAAAACTTAAGAGGATTGAACAAATGTAATTTATAAAGGGGGGGGGGTTAGATTCATGGTAGACAGACTACTCGGCCCAACGACACCTCGGCCCGCGCTGGTTGACACCTCGGCCCTGACAGGTCGGCTCAAAATCATTGACACCTCGGCCCATACCGAAGACAGCTCGGCCCAAGGAATAAAATTAATTTAGATTGTTTAAATTGGTTTAATTGTTATTTTCTATGGTATTTAATGTAGATGTATGTAATATAATTAATCACTAGGCCTAGAGATACGTTTACTATAAATATTATTTATATATTACGATAAACAGGGGCAGATAATTTCAGTATTTTCGAACAAACCACATCACATCATCGAATTACAATTCGTTTATCATAAATTACAATACAACATTATACATTATTAATATATATATATTTGTTAGACATCTTTAAAAAAATATTTGGTTGCTCTCTCCCGACTGACTGAATGAAATGGTCTACTGGAGTGAAGTGTACACTGTTGAATTTACTAATTATACTGTTTTTCTGGCGATATGGAACATCTGATATGGGTTGGTAATCATTGTAAGGATACATAGACTTCCAATGATTATTATCGACTCCCAATTATGCTTTCTCGTAATTAACTCCTCATAGTCACCCCCCCCCCCATATAACATGCGCTTGACACTCTAAAGGATGCACCGCGTCTTCTTGTTTGTTTAATGATTAACTTAATCAAGTTACTAATTGGTTATCTTTCTTTAATTACCATCAATTTGCCGTTTTGGAAGATTGTTAATGTATCAAATTAATTTCTTTTTCACTTCATAGATATATAATAGCATAAATAATAAATATATTTAATTAAAATATTATATTTTTGTTTGGGCCGAGGTGTCTTTTATGTGAGCCGAGGTGTCTTCAAATTTGGGCCGAGCCGTCGGAGCCGAGGTGTCAATGGGCCGAGATATCGGTGGGCCGAGGAGTCGTTGGGCCGAGCAGTCTGACATTCTGATTCATCCATCATCATCACACATTCACAAATAATTAATTTACAAATATTGTTTAAATTCATAGGATTATCCCTAGGACGCACATAAACATTTCTTAATTGTAAGATAAAATCGATATGAATTTCACATTCCTAAGAGTTATCTCCCGTTGTCGGCGTAATGCTCATTTCCCCCACTTTGTCCTTTGTAAGTTACCTGTCAATATTTTTATTCTTCAAAAGTTATCAGACAATTTCGATCTGTACCTGTATTGCCAGAGTATGGGTCAACAAGAAAAACGTAATGAACATATTCATACAGATTTCATTTCTGAGACACTGACCCGTAAAGTTGGTAAGGTTATAGAGGGAAAACAATGCCTTACGCCGGTTGACCCCAGATTGACCCCGCAAAGGGAAATAACTTTTGTAAATGTGAATTGAAGATTTTAATTTGTATAACATAGTGTTCAAAGACAACGGACTATTTGTACAGTGTACTTGGAGAA